ATGTACCACAGAATAATTACATAAATCTCTACACCTATATTATCATTTTATATCCCCATGTCATACATGATCTCCTCTGACCAAATCCTGAAGTAGAGCTTTCTTCCATGTTATAATTATTATGCTTTATTGTGTACCATAACTTCTGCAGCCAGTGAAATAAAATCGACAAAGCCAATAACTTATAAAAGCACAACACTATCAAGCAACCGCATTTGAATGCATCACAGTGACGACGTCACAACTATCGTCACAAGATTGATGACATAATTCTGATACTTTTGTTTTGGTAGACTCATCTCATCCACGTCATTATCTTCATTTGTTGGTAGTTAGATAATAATTAAGTATATAGAAGATCGCTACCACGTGACCACGTCAGCTGAATTATACTTTACTTACTTAGCTAAGCTTTAGCATACATATGCTATAAGTATTGTAGAACTACAGTGGAGTAGGTACCTACTCGTAGATGAGCTTGTGCGAAGGCACTTTACATAGACTCGTACAAAGTTTTAAAAGCTTCTTAGGTTCGTGCTAAGTACTTTATGATGCGCGCACTACTTTTTTATTAAATTTTAATTTTGATCGTTTATTAATAATCCTGTCTTTGCTTACCCCTAATAGCCCCAATCGACTTAAAATTAAATTTAAGTTTTCTTAAATAAAGATGTTTGTAGTGCAGTGCAAAGGGCAGTGCAGTGTAGGATTAATTGAATTATTTTTGTAAGTATTTATCTACGTACCTACCAACGTGGATTTTACACACTATTAACACTATAACAAACATAATAGAATATGCAAGACAAAGAAAATAATTTATTTCCTTCTTAGAAAATTATCTTAATCCATTAGTTTGCCAGCTTAATCGTCGTCCTGTTTGCCAACCAGCTTAATGAAAAAAATAAAGCTTTAAAGTTTAAAGCAACGCAAAATTACGCTGCTTATTTCGTTGAAAATTAGATCTTATTTAATCGCAATAAGTGTTCAAGGATAAAGTATTATAATTTTAATCGCAATATTATCAACCGGCAGTTATTCCAGATAACCTTTAGTGAAACCTAACTTGAGATGAAACGCAGTCTATGTCATGAGATAAAAATAAATTCGTATGAGTCAGTCTCTTGTCCATTTCCGCCTAAGTTGTTTCAGAATATCAACAAGTTTTAAAAATAGTCTAAAAGACTATACAGGGTGTAAATTACTGATAAAAACTGAAACAAATTCAGTCCATGTCTTGAGTTCGCCCGTGGAAATTCATCCTGAAAAAATACAACTAAGTGAGTACCTACCTACACAAGTAGTCTAATAGTTCTAGTCTAGTAAATTAAGTATTATGAGCTACAGTGGTTTATAATTGAAATAACAGTAGATACATTCTACATAGTAGCACAGATAGTAGTAAGTAATTAAATAATAAACTTAGTATGAGAAGATCGGCTCCACGTTGTCTACGCGTTATAGAAGTGCTAATAGAAATTCAAGTGCATTCTTGAGTATTTATTTATGCACCGAAGCAGGAAGAATGCACGTCGAGTACAAGTCAAGAGTATTCTGAATACTTACGTAGGACAAGTGGCTAGATAGACGAGTATTACATACTTATTAAGTTAGTAAATATCTACCTAGACTACCTAGAGACACCTTTGTTTTAATCAATTATCACTTTTCATAAAAAAGCGTTTGACCAAAAGCTGCGAAATGTCGAATGATTACTAATACGTTCATAGTTACTCGTATTTATCATCTTATACCTACCATACTGTAGGTTGCTGTCCATACATCACTTGCATAAATCACGACTATTGAAGTCTAGCTCCTAACTAGCACTTACCCAACTAATTATTCATGCTTTCATAACAATCAATAAGCCCTGTAATCATAGAGACGGCATTTATTATAATAATTGCACGCACAAACGCATAAATTAAATTCTTTGGAGCACTTACCGCCGTAAAAGGCCCAAGATAGAAGCTTAGCATAAAGTTCACGCGTTTCTAATGTATTCCACGACCGTTGAGCTCATAGCCTTTAATAGAATACTTGATCGCTCAAATGTTTCTACGCATAAAGACATTAGACAACGCGCGCAAACTTTAAACCGAACCTAGATCTAGCGCTGACTTCATAATGAAAGGTGTGTCGTTTGAGGAATTTGTAGGAAGGTATGACTCGGAAACGTGCCATAATTATAGGCACTTACCCAACTATCTATAATTATATTAATAAATGTCACGACGGAGCTGTGCAAATGCCTAAGACACTGTCGTGAGATGTCCCACCCAGTTTGAGTTAGAAGAATAAATTATGTATGATGTTCACTCTTTCTATTCTACCAAAGGAGGAAAAAAGCGTCTGCAAAAGCACGTAAACTTTTCAGTAGGTTTTTTAAGTCGTATTTGCTATCGTTAAAGGCTGGTTTTCCGGAACTAGTATGCTGCATCTGTTGACAAATCACTTACCTGAGACTTCTTCATCCAAAGTACTAGGTATAGGCTTCATACTTTGACATTTCGATGTTAGTTGTCTTAGTAAAAGTTGTTTGCATTCGCCTGTGTAAATATGGCACTCATTGTGATCGACATCCTGCATTCAAATAGTTGCCTAGCCCGGCCATTATCAAATAGAATATTCTTATACACATAAAAATAACTAAAGTCAAAACCTTGATTTCTGCTACATTATACTTTACCTACTCTTATTACCGCATACCAAAATAAGATTGATTGCCAATACTTAATTAACTTTCCAAACCAAACTGGAAACCAATAGGTAGGTAGGTACATTTTTTCCTTTCTGAAATCATTAGGGATATTTATTTATTTAAAGGCACAACCACAGAAGTGACTTGGCTCTACCTTAGAGCCTTCGCAGAAGATTTTTTATCGGGCGATAATTTGTTCAGGTTCTAATTTGTATGAGGAATCGGCTGATACCAAATCGGTAGTAGGTACCTATGCGCGCTTTCATACATGTTCATATTAATTAACAGCCCGACTAAACTATCGCACGACAAAAATTGATTTTTTTAATGTCTTCATGCATCTCGAATTCTTTAAATCCATACAAAATAGACGCAGCACGCGCGATCATAGGCCATTCTTTCTTAATCTGAAAAGTGGGGCGGTTTCAAATAACTTTTCGAGGAAACTGCACTTCGGCTGCCAAGATCTCGCCGCTCCATTGCCACTGCCAGCCAAAGTTTAGCTGTCAATGCCTAATAGACTGTGACGTAGTAAGGTCCATTACAATAAAATGCTTGTTGCTTTGTTGTAGACGTAGCGCGTAGCCGTAACTCGTAACATTTGATGCTACGGAAATAAACCAACGGCGATAATAAATACAGTGGTGCATAGCGGTAGGTACCTACATACAAAGCACAAGACAACATCTGCTTTGTTTCTTAAGCCAAGCAAGTATACGTTTACGAACTAATTTGTAAAAAAAACACATTTTAAATACCTAACCTAATGTAGGTACTCCTTGTAAATGTGTCGGACACGGGCCCCTACATAGGTTTGAAAGCCCTTGTAGCGACGAACGCTTTTACGGATGTTTTTTCCACTGCCTCATAGGTTCGTAAGTTACATATTATGGATTCGAATGACGTTGTCGCGAACGACGCTGTTTCGAAAAACGTTTTCACTGTAACAAACAACGTTCTTAAGATCCTAATAGTACCTATGGAAATTGCCAAATTTTATATTTTTAATTTAAAGAATACCTAGTTTTACAAAATTATGAATAAAACTAGATAACTAATTATAAGACAAATAAATCAAAGTCACAAGCAAGTCGAAGGCACTGAAAAATGAAAACGTGTTTTTCGGGACAGCGTCGTTCGTGACTACATTGCAGTCTTTATGCTTTCGAACCTATGAGGCAGTGGAAAAAATATCGCAACAACGTTCGTCGCTACAACGGCTTTCGAACCTACCTACACGTATGGAACCCAGATCAATCGTTTTGTTTTTTGTTTGGATTATACAGGGNATTTTTCTACTTTTATTTATGGTATACTTTTTCGGAGTCAGTTTAATTTTTAGTCGGTTTTATTTAAACGAAATTATTTTACTTTTTTATGCAATTATGCTTACGTATTGTTCCATTGCTTATTTTCCTATATAAGTAAATAAAATAAAAGAAAATAAAAATATTCTTTCAGTGAGGGTTTTCGCGATTGAAAAATCCGCCAGATGGCAATACGTAGACGCGAGGTCCAAATGCTGCGTGATTGGTGGATTTTGACTCTGTCAATGTCATGTCAAAAATAACAAATCATGCAGCATTTGGACCTCGCGCTGCGCGATTGGTGGATTTTGACATATCTGTCAATGTCATGTCAAAAATAACCAATCATACAGCATTTGGACCTCGCGTCTACGTATTGCCATCTGGCGGATTTTCGCATCTTAAATTACATCCCTAGCGGAATAGAGCAACAAAGAACTGAGCGCGCGAGATGTCGCTAGAAGCAACACTGTCAAACAGAACTTTTTGCAACTATTTGAAGTTAAATAACTTTACGGATATTATTATCATTGATTGTTTTACTGTCCAGTGTGTTTTTTGATTACGTCTGTGCGTATGCAAACAAACAAACTGTATAGTTTGTTTCCTGTTCTCGAAAATTTCATAATCAGTTCACATTCAATGTTGCGACTTTGTTGCATATTTTTAGTATTTTGACGATCACCCGGCGATGATACGCAAGTACTACAATATTTCACTTCGCGATTAACGAGAGGTTTTGTCGCATCACTAGTTCACAGACTAAAAATATTTTTATGTCAGTTGGCCATTTTTGATGACATTTCTGCTGATTTCTAAAAAATTAGACTGTAGGCTTCGTGACGCAACGCGCCATTTCAACTCGAATGTATAATAGTACTGTTATTATTTAATTTAAGAAAGTTACTAATATTTTCTAAATCCGTCTGACAGATAAATAATTGATTTTTTTTATCATTTTTAGCCTATTGTAATAATTAAAAATGTGCTGTTACAGTTACTCGATATCGATGAAACTGCCCTAAAGATGCATTGCTGCTTCCCTATCTGTCAAACTATTATGCCAAAATATTATGCCAATCAGCCTGATTTGTATTGATGAAAGAAATTTATTTTAAAGCAGCAAATCTTTACATTAAAACATTGAATGGAAGTATTTTATTGCCAAGCATGTCTGAGCAAAGATCGTCGGATGTTCCCTCAGGAAAAAATCAAGGATTTGTTGGAAGACATCCATATTTTAGAGGTTAGTACAGTGTAAACAAAACAAACTAAATATTATTTACATGTATGGCCTTATAAACCTTGAATGCAAAGAAAGGAAGGTTTCCCCAAATGTTTTATGAAATATAATAATGTATTGGCCACACTCAGCCAGTGTTACAGATAAAGAATACTATTATTAAAGCTTTTTTTATATTATTAATTTGTTACAGATAATGTATGATAAAAATGGCGTCATCTGTTGGGAGTGTTACCAAATAATACTAAAGTTCTCCAGATTCAAATTGCAAGTCTGCCAAGCCCAGAAAACCATGCACTTTTTGGTGAGTCTTCTGAGGTTGTACAACCTACAGCTGTAAATAATTTAGTTTTATAAAAATTTACAATTATTGTGAATAAATGATTGTATAAAAACTTTTTTATTAATCATCTACCTATCAAATTTCACTCCAGTTTCTTGCTATCTAAGCCTAGGGGTAGACCACCGATTTTTAGTTGACCGATAGTTGGGTCGGGCTGTTAATCAGTATGGGGATGTATGAAAGTGCGCACATTACACCAATTTGCTATCGGTGATTCTTCACACAAATTAAAATCATATTGGCTAACTAAAAGTCGGTGGTCTGCCTAGGCTAAGGGCCCTTTCCTATCCAATCCAGTTTTGCACGATCCTGCATTTTGTACTTGTGTGTTCACACAATAGTATACTGCTTTTTGCAATGAATAGGAAGCTGTTAGTGGGAACACATCTATTATTGTGGCCTTCTTCACTAAGGGGCCACAGCATATGCTGAGTGGGGTCCCATTGTGATGGGCATCGCTGTGCGACAGGGTGGCACTGCTCAGTTTACTTTCTCTTTCCACTGTGTTTTATGTGTCACCTCTGTCTTATTTGCTTTTTTTTTATTTACCTCTTTTGTCTTTTGAGATGTCCATGGCAATAAATCTTTCTTTCTATAAAATTGGAATTAAACTGTGTCCTGTTTTACTGGTCCAGTTTAAAGACAAAACTGAACAGCAAATAAGAACAGATCAAAAATTGCAGTCACTGCAATTTGCTAGTAATAATACTAGCAAATTGCAGTTTTGTCTTTAAACTGGACCAGCAAAACAGGATACAGTGTTATAAAACAAGAGCTTTGGTTTTCTGAATAAAGAAAGAAAAGTAATATAAAACATATACATACTAAACTGGATCCTGCAAAAAACTGGATGTTCTCATGGGAAAGAGCCCAAAGTTTGTAGCTGTCATAAAATTAATTCTATATTCGAATAGGCACTGGGAAAAGTGAAAGAGCACTTTTACGCGTTCCATTAACCCTACCACTGCTTCGGGAAAATAAATGGGCCAGTGCTGAGTTTTTTCTAATGTTACACAGTTAGTCCGCCTAACAGGGGGGCGGAAGGGGCATCCGGTTTTGGGGGCCCCAAATGCCTCCGCGTTCTCCTGATCAAATCTATTCAAATTCAAATTCAAATAATTTATTTGTGAAACACAGGTAAGCAGTATGATGTACAAACAAGATAATATGTGTTCAAGCCGTGATCAGCCTTGTCGGCATACAAACTATACTAATATTATAAATGCGAAAGTAACTCTGTCTGTCTGTCTGTCTTGCTTTCACGCCTAAACCACTGAACCGATTTTGATGAAATTTGGCATAGAGATAGTTTGAGTCCCGGGAAAGGACATCCTTCTCATTACCTACAGGCTCGCTTAGATGCAAATTAATATTATTTAAAACAAAAAATATGTTTATACTAAAGCCTGTTCCGTGAGCACGTAGAATTTTGTCCAATGACCCCTAGCTACCCATCCTTATCGCTCGCGCGTAATTATATTGCTGTCGCGACTGTGAGACTGGCACCCGCAGTGAGTGTGCGAGACTAGCTTTCCGCCCGCTACTTCGCCCGCGTGGAATTTTGTCTGTCGCAGAAAAAAACCATCGCGCGCGTTTCTGTTTCAAAAACCGGGATAAAAACTATCCTATGTCCTTTCCCGGGACTCGAACTATCTCTATGCCTTTCATCAAAATCGGTTCAGTGGTTTATGCGTGAAAACAAGACAGACAGAGTTACTTTCGCATTTATAATATTAGTAGGTATAGAAGTAATAGATTAATTTTGTCGATTGATTTCTAATAGAATAGAATTGTTTTTATTTGCTAAAACTTGGTCATTACAGATATTAAAGGTGTAGGGCAGCGTTGTCAGTTTTTTTTTTTCGCCAAGTCGGGACTTTGGTACTTTTTGAGTGAAAATAGCGGGATTCTTCTGTCAGAAGCGGGACATAGAAAAAAACGTATATATATAATCAAAGGTATTCAAATATTTTTCTTTTTATTTGACTTAAAATTACGTTTACGTGACAATAGATAGCAAAAGTAGCTATAGGAAATGTATTTTAACAAAAAAATAATATTTTAAATCAGAATATCGTTAAATTCGTCTTTAGAATACTAAAAGACAAAAAAATCGAAATAAAAAAAATAATTCTTTAGAATAATATGGCGTTTCAAACAATAGTCTGGTGAAGTGACGGTCTCTCTCCGAAAAGCGGGACCGAGCCTGTCCCGCGCGGGACATTTAAATTTGATTTAAAAATCAGGACGTCCCGCCAAAATCGGGATGTCTGGCAACGCTGGTGTAGGGCCTAACTCAGTCAGTGTGAGGTATGCGAGCGGATACTGGAAGTGTGACACTGACATAAATTATGACGTGACAGTGCATAAAATGGCAATGCCAGATTTTGTATGGAAGGTGGCGTCTTTTTTTTTCGCGCGGCCATCGACCAAACCTTATTTTTTGATTACAAAATAGTGTAATAAACCAAACTTACATGACATGTATACCTCTAAACTCAGTTTGAACTGAGTTACGAGCATTAGAAGTTTGATTTACTTTCTGCGCGCAAGTTTTGTACGAAATTGCAACAAAATAGTGACATTGTATGTGTAAACAAACAATACCATCCATTATAGGCTCCAGCCATCAGGGTGGAGCAGAATCAGCGCAATAAAAAAAGATGTTGCTATTTTGTTGCAATTTCTTACAAAACTTGCTTACGTTTGGTCCCTCCCGCGCGAAAAAAAAGACGCCAATTTCCGTAATTGTCTTTTGAAGCATATCTGAAGTTTCGCTGATGTTTCTCCCATACCTCAGACAGTGACTCGTTAAACACTAGACCTAGAGTTAGGACGTTTTATTCACTTTCTTGTCATACTGAATAAAAGATTCGTGGGTTCGATTCCCACCTAATCTGCTAAACTGTCACGCACGAATGTTACTTTGACAAGGGGCAAGGCCCCGATTACGCTAATTTGTAACGCATTTCATCTCTAGTCCACACTGCAGTCACGCTCCAATTTCATTCCAGCTGAAGTGCAATTCGGTATTGCGGTAAAGTTCACGCTCAAACCTTTGTTTGTGCATAAAATATATCCTTTGTTTTGTAAAGACAAAACAAAGGACACTTTCCATTAAAAATTTCGAACACCTTATGTTTCAAACTAAAATTGATAAAACGCAGCAAATGTTCGTGATGCGTTTGAGAAAAAATTTTCCTCTGTCAGCTTTTACGCAAAGGCGCAGTCGCGCTCCGTTTACGTTACAACTTTGCTTTGTTTGAACAGCTGAATTTCGTTCGTGTTCCAAGTTAAATTTTTTTACCGCGGTCCTGACCTGCATCCTCGTGCTTCTCGCTTCCTTCACCAGATCGTCGGTGCACCGAGTGACCTGCCCACAACGTAATGCGGTCCGTGGTCGCCACTCGAGAACTTTTCTATCGTGCTGGTCATTTCGAGATCCGAGGAACGCGGGTTCGAATCCCGTCTTCCACTATTTAATTTGTACACGAATCTACTCTATAGTAATAATTATAAATGCGAAACTAACTCTGTCTGTCTGTCTTGCTTTCACGCCTAAACCACTGAACCGATGTTGATGAAATTTGGCATGGTGATGGTTTGAGTCTCGGGAAAGGACATAGGATAGTTTTTATCCCGGTTTTAGAAACAGGGATGCGCGCGATAAAGTTTTTCTGTGACAGACAAAATTCCACGCGGGCGGAAAGCTTTTTTTAACTTTCTATAAGCCTTAACGCTTCACAAACGCAACCAGCAGCGTGATGACCACGCCACAGAATAGAGACCAGAGGCAGAGGGCTTAGTGTGAGTTTACATCAAAACGTCCTCACTAGTGAGCACGTTAAAAATATGAAAATATTCATCATCAATCATCATCAACAGCCCTTTACAGTCCACTGCTGGACTATGAGCCTCCTCCACTATAGTAGAGGGTTTTGCCATAATCCCCACGCTTGGCAGGCGGGTTGGAGATCGCAGTTTAAAAGATTTATGTTTGTCAGAGAGCGCTGCTGCCCGTTCTCTGTTTGATGTGTAATCCCTAAGTCGCCTCTTACGACACCCGCGGGAAGAGTAGGGGTTGGTGACAAATGTATTCTACTCTGCCGTCACCACACGGCCGATGAAAATATTAGTTCTTGAAAATTTCCGCTAGGGGCGCTGTACAATCCGCCATTTAATGTCATTTTTTTACGCGCTCACTAGTGACGACGTTTGATGTAAATTCACAATCCGCATTACAGGAAAAATGCACATAACACACAGACACAGACTTTCCGTCGGCCGATAGTTGGGCCCGACTCTAATTTGTATGAAGAATCGGCCGATGCCAATCATCATCATCATTTCAGCCATAGGACGTCCACTGCTGAACATAGGCCTCCCCCAATGATTTCCACTATTTCGGTTGGTAGCGGCCTGCATCCAGCGCCTTCCTGCTACCTTTATGAGGTCGACGGTCCGCCTTGTGGAGGTCACCATCTTTCCAGTACGTGACCTCCAGAACCGTGCTACTCCGTCAGCCGTCAGTGCGGCGTTCTTCACTTTCATACATGTCCATACTGACTGATTAAAGCCTGGTCTCTGAGCACGTAGAATTTTGTCCAATGACCCCAAGTTACCCATCCTTATCGCTCGCGCGTAATTTTGTTGCTGTTGCGCTCGCACACTCACTGCGGGCGCCCGTCGCACAGTCGCGACAGCAATATAATTACGCGCGAGCGATAAGGATGGGTAGCTTGGTGTCATTGGACAAAATTCGACGTGCTCAGAAACCAGACTATAACAGCCCGACCCAAGTATCGGCCGACAAAAAATCTGCCGTCTAAAAATGAAGTCAATTTTATTTTAAAACGTCAACGTTTCAGACAGAGGAATCAAGATGTTATAGCAACCTTTCAACAGTTAAAAAGAAGGGATATGACTTCAAATTCGTGTATCACTCCGATCCTCTCACGTCCGACATCGAAATCAAAACTGACATCAAACTGGAGTTGTCTGAAATTCGCGTCAATGACTCTAAAACGGGTGACATTAAGCAGTTAATGAGCGTTAAGAAATCAGATTTAAACGATGGGTCTTCAGAAATTGATATGTATGAAGGCAAAGCAAATGATGATATAAATAATGATACTGAGTCAATAAATGATGATTACGATGGAATTAATGATGTTTCAAGTAACGAAGCTAAAATTAACGACAATCCAACAGTATATGCTGATACATTAGAGCCTAAACTTACAGTAAAAAAAGAGCGACATAAAAGTGTAAAAGCGAAAGGAGTCAAAAGAAAATCTGTCAAAGTTGAATTTAATGAAGAAGAATTGAATGAAAAGTTCGCTGTAGTTGTGTACACTGAAGAAGAAATGCAAAAGCTTAGAGAAGAGAAGAGAAGTCATCCCAATTTTAAGAAGATACCATATAAGTGCGAGAGCTGTGTGCTTGGGTTCACGAAGAAAGAGAACTTAGATGTACATTTGGAGAAGAATCATAATCAAGTAAGCATTACTATTAATATAGTCTGGTCTGCGAACACGTAGAATTTTGTCCAATGACCCCAAGCTACCCATCCTTATCGCTCGCGCGTAATTGTACCTATTGCTGTCGCGAATGTGCGACGGGCGCCCGCAGTGAGTGTGCGAGCCGTGAGCATTTAGACCGGGCTTTAGACACCGACGTACATTTTAAAACTGTCAAATCGAGACTCCCACATATTTTGTATAGCAATACAAGCATGTGACGTCACTATTTTGTCAACTCAATTACTACTTTTTTCAATAACAATGCGAGTAAAGCGACCGAAAAATCTATCCTAATTTACAGTTAATTTAAAATTAATACAGTTTTTAAGATCAGAACGCCACAGGATGTCCACTGCTGAATATAGGCCTCCCCAATAATTTCCATATCGCCCGGTTGATAACGGAGGGATGTTTCCTGGGTAAAAAAGCAAGATTCAATTAGTCCGTCAGTTAACTTATCAAAAAATACTCGATATGTATTTTTAATTTTTTCAAACTATTGAAAATTGAAAGAGATAAAGCGCGCCAAAGTCTATAAGTGGCGCGTGACGTCAAGGCGTGCTTAAAAGCGTAGCACTTTGTTACGTCACGCGGAACTTCAACGCACCATAACTTCGTAATAACTTGTTTGATTGACAAATAAAAATATGACCAGTATTTTTTGATAATGTACCTAATTGTTGACGGACTTAGTTTTTTTTTAGGAAACTAAAGCCCGTTCCGTGAGCATAAGGATGGGTAGCTTGGGGTCATTGGACAAAATTCTACGTGCTCACCAGACTATAGCCTAAATTATTTCTCATTACTTTTCCAGAGTAACCTATACACCTGTGCCGTGTGTCTCTCGCGGTACTCGAACAAGGGACCTCTCTCTCGACATATCAGGTCTCACTATGCGCGATACAAGTGTACCTTCTGCGCTTACGAGACGCGCGAGGGTTGGGCCGCGTCGCGTCACTGTCGCGTCACGCACGCGTCAGATGCTACAGGGCGGTTACACTGCCCGCACTGTGGCAAGGAAACCAGGTAAGCAGATAGTCTAAGTAACTAACATTACTATGAGATCTCACAGTGCGCGTGGACGCACAGTCCCACAAACCTATTCATTGACAATACTTGAGTGGCGGAGTGATACACACGAACCAATCACAGAGCTCTATTCAACGTTGTGCGTTCGACTTCGCATAGCGTAGTAGAGCATAGGTGCTTCACTTAAGCAAGCATCGTTTGTGAATACGGGTGTATGATAGATACTGTCTCTGAGGAGACTCGAACGTGAGACCTTTCGCTTACGTTGACTGCTGATAGATGGACAGCTAGGTTAGGTAAAAATTACTGACTCTAACAAGATTCGAATTTGCGATCTTGCGCTATTACCTACTTATTGATCCGTCATTCAAATTCTTTTTTCTTTTCCTTTCTTTTCTTTTCTTTTCTGTCGTTTTTCTTTTGTATGCTTAACTCAGTCAGTGCCAGCGAGACTTCATAATAATAAAATATGTCAATGTCACCCCTTCCGTGCCACTCCCATATCTCAGGCACTCCAATGCCCGGTCCGGCCCGGTCCGTGAGCACGTAGAATTTTGTCCAATGACCCCTAGCTACCCAACCTTATCGCTCGCGCGTAATTATGTTGCTATCGCGCTCGCACACTCACTGCGGGTGCCAGTCTCACAGTCGCGACAGCAATATAATTACGCGCGAGCGATAAGGATGGGTAGCTAGGGGTCATTGGACAAAATTCTACGTGCTCACGGACCAGACTTTAGCTTTCTGCCCACGGCTTCGCCCGCGTGGATTTTTTTCTGTCACAGAAAAACAATATCGCGCGCGTATTTGTTCACCGTTTAGACCTACCCTGGACTACGACAAATATTTTAAAACCAAAATCAGCTCAATCGCTCGCGCGTAATTATGTTGCTATCGCGCTCGCACACTCACTGCGGGTGCCAGTCTCACAGTCGCGACAGCAATATAATTACGCGCGAGCGATAAGGATGGGTAGCTAGGGGTCATTGGACAAAATTCTACGTGCTCACGGACCGGGCTTTAGTAAGAAATATATTTTGTTTAATTCACAGTCGAATCCACGGCGTCAAAAGAGAGTTCGTCTGCGACATATGCAACAAACCTTTTAAAACGAAGACTCGACTGGAATCCCATATGGTGACACATAACGCGGCTCTCGCCAAGAAACTCGCTTACTGTGTGACGTGCCAAGTTCAGTATAAGAATATATACGTATACAGAAACCATCTGAAGAATAGCGCCAACCACTCCGAGAGGGCGTGAGTATTACCAGGCCTGTTCATCTCCGCGAGTTTACATCGAAAACAAAACAAGCATAATGGCACCCTACTGGATTAATACTATTCGAAAAGGCCTCACATACAAGTGAGCATTGATTCACGCACGCGTATTCTTGTGTATGATGGAAAAAAATAAAGAAAATGGTGTACTAAATACTGTGCATTTTATTATTATTTATGCAGTATTTAACTGCCTAAATAATAATAAAAACACAGAATGTTCTTTTTTAAGTTACCTCAAGAAGACACTGAGAGGTAATGTGGTTAATATTATTCATGATAATTCATGCTTAATCATGCATTTCCTCTGCCATTTTCTGCAGTTTGGCACCTCACGTCACATCATTTTACCGAAGTCAGCCCTATAGCTTCGGCGCAGTACCGATCACTGACGTTTGTCAACAAAATGGTGCTTGACTCTTGAGACAAGCTAAATTACACCATATTGTTAATGACATTGAGCATACATTTTTTGAATACCTTCGCGAAGTAAACCTTCTGTACGTAGTACTTATTATTATTCTGTGGTATTACCAGCAGGGGTGTTATGGATATTCGTGACCGTAACCGAAACTATCGGATCAAAATAAAAATTTCCGAAACCGAAACCGATTCAAAAGTTTCGGATGAAGGCGGAGTCTAAATCGTATTTTTTGATGTGTGATGCACAAATAAGTCATCATCATCATTTCAGCCACAGGACGTCCACTGCTGAACATAGGCCTCCCCCAATGATTTCCATATCGCGCGGTTGGTAGCGGCCTGCATCCAGCGCCTTCCTGCTACCTTTATGAGGTCGTCGGTCCACCTTGTGTGTCCGAATAAGTGTTTAATCTTATTTTTTGTTTAAGGTACCCGTGTCCGGAGTGCAAAAAGAAATTTGTGTCAAATGTGTACCTGAAGAAACACTACAACTTCTACCATCTGCAGAAATCACAATTCAACTGTGATATTTGTAATAAGGTAAGTGTAATAGACATGTGGACACCACCAATCAATTGACGTACTTTTTAAAACTGTCAAAACGAAACTCTCCCATAGATTTTGTATCGCACTACAAGCAAGTGACGTCACTATTTTGTCAACTCAATTAAACTACTTTTTTCAATTACAATGCGACCAAAAATCGTAATTTACATGTATGTAATTTAAAATTAATTAAGTTTTTAAGACCAGAATGAAGTGTCTTAGAAAAGTTGTGATTTAGAATTATTGGGGAATGGTGTCAAATTGTCTATTCAAGCTCGTATACAAATAACGGGAGGACCGGGCCCCCAGAATGGTCTGGGGCCGGTTATGACGTCGCTGCTGTCATCATTGCTGTCGCGAGCAATGTGTTCTGTTTTTGGGCATATTGCTGCGACACCGGCCACGCCCCCTTGTCACATCCTACCTTTAGTTTCTGTGATCTATGAAAACACCTTTGCTCTGGTAAATTAGAGAGGGTCGTGCATTGGATACAAACACCCGTATTCACAAACGATGCTTGCTTAAGTGAAGCAGCAAATCGAACGCACAGCGTTGAATAGAGCTCTGTGATTGTTCGTGTGTAATGTTCATAGTAATGTTTGTGAATACGGGTGTAAGACAATATTTGTTGCAATTCACGAAGGCGAGTGAGCTTTACATGTGTGGTGGCTCGCTACTGTTCGTTTTGCAAAAGTTTTGATAGACATTATACTCTATCGTTATGTGCATGTACACGTACACACACAAGGTGTACGGGCGAGAGGCAGTGGTTGTAAGGCACCGCTCCCGTGCCCGGGATATGCGGTCAGGAAGGAAACTAACTCCCTAGTGAGCCTAGAGTCCCTATTCCCTAAGACACTAAGTCCCTAGAGCCCTAGCCCTGCCTAACAATAGATACTTAGACATATCAACAGTCCGTCGTTGTGTCTCATTTCCCCCCGCTGCGGCCAAGACACCCTTAGCCGTCGCTATGATCAGTCCGGTGAGTCTGCCGGGCTGGCAGCGGCTCCCCGCCGCCTACCTGCCGTCCTAACGCTGCTGCCCTGGGCGACCTGGGAGCAGCTTCCTTCCTATCAAACCTTATTATGTCTAAGTATCTATTGTTAGGCAGGGCTAGGGCTCTAGGGACTTAGTGTCTTAGGGAATAGGGACTCTAGGCTCACTAGGGAGTTAGTTCCCTTCCTGACCGCATATCCCGGGCACGGGAGCGGTGCCTTAAAACCACTGCCTCCCGCCCGTATACAAGGAAAGCCCACTCGCCTTCGTGAGTTGCAAGAACTATAAAGCCTGATGATGATGATGAAGATGTTTCAGCTGTTCATATCTGACTGGCGCTTGAAGAATCATAAACAAAAACATCATGGCCTCAGTCGACCCAGGGACCACACTTGCAATATCTGCGGGAAGAAATTCTTTGTAAGTAAAGATGACCCATGCTGAACTGTCCCACCAAACTCAATGACAGGGGGGCGCTACCATCGTTCAACTGTATGGTTTCCAACATGGCAAAAATCGGAACCAGCGATCCGGTACTGACGGCGGCGCCCCACTGTCAATGTCATGGATAGGACAGTTCAGTATTTTGGAACTATATCACTGGTATCACCACAGATTAAAATGTCACGTCACGGATGGTATATTATGTAATGCCGGAAAAATTTAAAAAGCAAATAATACCGCGACCTAACGCAGCACAGCGCCTTCTATTATCCAAATTAGTAAACATGATTTACTTACTTTTCTTGCTTGGCTTAATATCGGTGCAAATGGGCCACCGACCACAGCCACCGGTGGCTGTCGCGCGCTACCGCCACATATCTAAGAGTGTCAGAAGCGAGCGACAGCCACCGGTGTCTGGAAGCCGCCACATTTTATGTGGAGAATCGCGGATATTACTGCGTCACACGTTACTGTGTGTACTACACGTGTGCGATGCGCCTATACAAAATACATACTTTTTGATTTGATTTTGCTCATAAAAATGTCGTGTTCATTCGTCATTAACTTTGTCATAACGCAAGGTTCAAAAGTCTATGGTGTCCACAGACGCTGTCAACGCTCCGAGGCCACCAGCTCACGCATTCCCCGCGGCGCTCGTTCCTGTGTGAAGGTTGCGGAGACACGTTCAGACAGCGGCCGGCTCTGTATACTCATGTACGCCGCGTACATGGAGAGACAAACGGGAAACGGGGAGCGGGACCAACAAATCTGGGGGCGTAAAATGAATTTACGTCAAACGCTTTCGATATCTTTAAATTTATATTTATTTATTACCTTTTGTGTCAATTTTAAACGTTAGCAACATTGTATCATCCTTCAAGTTGAGAAGTGAATCTGAGAATAAAGTAATTTACCAACTTCTGCGTTTCTATTTCAATCCTAAAGGCTTTATCAGCGTCTATTTTCATACTACATCGTTCTGAATTATGAGGTGCCTTATTACAAAAAAGTTAAACTCTCAATGAACACTGGTTGAAAATGACGATTTTCATATTTTAATAAATGTCTTCTTCTTGTAATAATGGCGTTATCTCATCATTCACCCATTAAGCCCATTGAGTCAGTGCCATCTAGATTTTGAATAGCAATTTTTGTTTTAAACTTATAAACATAGATGGCGTTATTTTATGGTCCTTTTTATTACTCGGTGTCGGATGTACTTGTCAAATGTCAATGTCAAAAAAATGACATTTCCAAATTGTGTTGTGTTGATTTTTTTTGCAATGTTTTTATTCATTTAAAATAAAAAAATGGCAAAAATTATACTCAATACCGATGAAACTGATGGGCAGATGTTTTGCCACGTATGTTTAAGTTCTGACCGGACTCTGTTTCCTTTAGGAAAATACAGCGATGTGTATTACAATGCTTTCGGCAACTTTATCATGGTAAGTTCGTAAAATTCGTGATAAATTACTTCTATAAACTACATTTTGTAAGTTATTCTTGCATTACTAGCTTAGAATTATTATTATTTAATTCTCTGACAAATCAGACTTCAGAAGCCTTAACCCTTTGTACGGCAGTGGGAACTACTCCCGGGGCCCTCCCCTTTTTTTTGCGCAGGAAAATACTTTGCGTATTCCCGCCGCCTCGGGGGAAGGGCAGCAATAGCGGCTGTCATCCGACAAGTATACCCACTAAAAACCTGCGGTGCACCCTCTGCGTTTTACTGGCACGACGTGGGGTCCTACAGATTCAGACCACGCCGTGCCGACGCATGGCCCAGCCTTTGCAGGGCCTCCCGCGCTAAAGAGGGGGTCTACCGGTACACTGGTAGACCCCCCCAGACAGGGTGGGACCGTGCAATGTGGGTGATGGGCCCCCCGGCCTAATGCCCACTGGTCTCACCTAGGGACTCTCACACACTCTCAGTCAGAATGATGCTCCCAGGGCCCCCCTTAAAATAACCCTAGATATGCCAAGGGCCCCATGCCCAGAATTTGCCACTGGCCTCAGATGGACATAGTTACGCCACTGCATTAAACAATGAAAAATGTATAAAAGTATGTTTATATCCGTTGTCTAGTGCCCATAGGTTTTACTTTACTTAGTTTGGGACTAGAAACTAGTAAAATGTCCAAGGATATTTATTTATTTATATATTATTTGGACCTTCAAAAACCTTTGAAAGGCTTAAATCTATTATTTGGACTAATTTTCAATTTTTACAGGCAGAATTTCCTGTTATTTTATTATGTTGGGAATGTATAGCGATACTGAAGAAAATAGCATTATTTCAAGCAAAAATAGAACGTTCACAGAGAATCCTCCTTGCCCATTCTATTGATAATCAAGTAAGTTTAAAAATCAAATCGAATAGTTTATTCAGTACATATGCCCTTTCCAGGGCGCTTAAACACGTCCCAAATGTAGTTTGCCCTACCACCACTTCGGGACAACATATTATGGGCTGGTGCTGAGAAGAAGTGCCGGAAGAAAGTCAGTCACCATTTTCGACTTTTAATAAACTGAAAAAATCGAATTGCCTAAGGTGGTAAATCAAACATACGAATTGTTTGCTTGCCGGGCGACTGCTCTTCTAACTGAGCTACTTAGACACTGGATGAACCTGTCGAAGCAAGCGAATGGTCGTAGGTTTAATTCCCGCCTTAGGCAGTTCGATTTTCTCAAATTGTATATAATTTAGTTTTTTATAACTTGAGTAAATCTTAACTTAGCCTAGGCGCAGACCGTCGATTTTTTATCGGCCGATAGTTTAGTCGGGCAGTTAATCAGTATGGGCTTGTATGGAAGTGCGCACATTACGCCGATTGATTCTTCGTACAAATTAGAATCGGGCACAACTATCGGCCATCTAAAAATCTGTGGTCTGCGCCTAGGCTTAGGGCCTGATCTTAATGCTAAAGCCTGGTCCGTGAGCACGTAGAATTTTGTCCAATGACCCCAAGCTAACCCATCCTTATCGCTCGCGCGTAATTATATAGCTGTCGCGACTGTGCGACGGGCGCCCGCAGTGAGTGTGCTCACGGACCAGGCTTTACAATTTTTTTAAGTTTTAACTATAAATGATTGTTTGCAGACCCCTCTAACTACGTTAAGTAGTTTAACCACTACGTACCTTAATCCTGACCTCACATTACTATTTGTCGAAGACGCAGACGAAAAAACACAAATTGAATTAAACGTAAACAATGAAATATTTAACAAAGACCTTGATAATAAGGATTTATTGCAAGATATCAAGGTGAAGGAAGAAGTTGATGACTGTGACAATGCCAATGATTTTGATTGCGAAAATACTGATTTACTCGATGAAATCAAAACTGAATTAGAAAATGTTAAAGTTGAAAACCCTCAAGTGGTTAAGAAAAAGAAATATGCGAGTCGAACCAAAGACAGACCATACAAGGTAAATAAGAAAGTTCTGATGAAAGATCTAAAAGAAATGTGTAAAATAACATACATCGGATTCGATGAGATAAAAGAAATGTTGGAGAGAGAAAGAAATAGTTCGTATTATAAGATCCGGTACAAATGTAAGACTTGTGTTCTGGGCTGGTCAAGCAAAGAATACTTGGAACGTCATAATGTGAAGTTTCATAGTCAGGTACCTAAGTTTTATTTTATATTTTTAACTAAAGTCCGGTCCCAAGCTACCCATCCATTTTGCTATTGCGCTTACACACACTGCGGCCGCCCGTCGCACAGTCGCGACAGCAATATAATTATGCGCTAGCTACAAGGATGGATAGCTTGGGGTCATTGGACGAAATTCTATCTGCTCGGCGACCGGACTTTAGCTTTTCCCTGCGGCTACATACGTGAAATTCGATGTGTCATAGTTATTCTTATGTATCAAATCAACAGGATGAACCAGTTGACATTTTCAAGTGTAATACGCTGTTGCGGCCGCGTTCGATTTTTTCAAGTTATTTATAATTTAGCTTGAGCAGCGACTAATCGCTAAGATTTTAATAATTCTAACGCCCGTATTCACAAACGATGCTTGCTTAAGTGGAGCAGCAAATTGAACGCACAGCGTTGAATAGAGCTCTGTGATTGCTTGTAGTGGTCTAAAGTCTAAATTGAATAAAATATTTTTGATTTTATTTGAATTCCAGTCTTCACCATACTCGTGTGATTTCTGCAACGCCCGTTTCGATTGCAAGCGCCGTCTGTCCACCCACATGGACCGACATCGCGAGGTGTTCGAGTGCCGGTCGTGCGGTCATCGGGCGTCGAGTCGAGAGCGAATCAGACGCCACCTGGCTGGTATGCATCGCGTCCGATGCAAAGGCTGCGAAGCTTCGTAAGTGGAAGTAAATACAAATGAGTAGGTCATCTTCATAGAAAAGCACCGAGCGCGGTTTGTATGTGAGCGCGCACGCACACACTGACAAAATTTAGCGGGGAGTTGCGCCGAACATACAAACCGTGCTCGGTGCGTTTCTATGAAGATGACCTACTCATTAATTTGTTGTTGATATAATTTTTGAAGACCTGTCCATAGATACCCCACACGTATGGGTTTGATGAAAACCTACCCCCCAAAATTTATAGCATTTTTCTTTTTTTGTGTAAAAATCTTAATGCGGCTCACAGAATACAACTACATACCAATTACTCTGATAGTTCTTTCGGAAAAAAGTGGCTGTGACATACGGATGGACAGACAGACAGGCATCATGACGAATCCATAAGGGTTCCGTTTTTTGCCATTTGGCTACGGAACCGTAATTAGTCTGCCCGACACATCTCTTTCTTCCGATCCGCTCCGCCTTGGTGGAAGCCTTATGATGAAAGAATTTTTCAAATAGTAAATCCCTCATGAGTCCCTTTATTACTGAACTAGCTTTCCGCCCGCCGCTTCGCCCGCGTGGATTTTTGTGTCACAGAAAAACTTTATCGCGCGCTTCCCTGTCAAAAACCGGGATAAAAACTATCCTATGTCCTTTCCCGGGACTCAAAACGAACTATCTTTATGACAAATTTCATCAAAATCGGTTCAGTGGTTTAGGCGTGAAAGAGAGACAGACAGACAGAGTTACTTTCGCATTTATAATATTTGTATAGATTGTTCTTAAATTGATTTGCCAAAAGTTTGTCTCAAAGCGCTCTGGTAGGGCAAAAAAAAGAAACCTGTAAAAATGCATTTCAGAAGTAGATATTTTTCATTTTGATTTGATTTCGATTTGAATTTGTTCCTATTTTATTTCAGATTCCGCACCGTCCGTTTATTCTTCAAACACTATAAGCAATACCATGAAATATTTGTATGTGATTATTGCACGAAAAAATGCAAATCTAAAAGGAGTATTGAAAAGCATATAAAGTAAGTAAACTTTACTTCTATACTTATCTTTCTACTATAGTCCGGTCGCCGAGCACGTAGAATTTCGTCCAATGACCCCAAGATACCCATCCTTATCCGTGCGAAAGGCGATGCGGTGTTGATCCCTTTCCGAGTTGATAAGTCTGTTATGGCCTTTAAATGACTTATTAATACTATATGACCAACCGGCCATTGTGGAAATCATTGGGGGAGGCCTATGTTCAGCAGTGGACGTCCTGTGGCTGAAATGATGATGATATGACATTTTCAGAAACCACCACGCGGTTAGCTACCGCTGCGACGAATGTTCTATCACGTTCAAAAGCAAAAAGTACTACAAAAGCCACAACGAGCGCAAACACGTGGTTTCTATGGGCGACGACGCGTACTGTGTGGAATGCGACAAGCAGTTCAAGAATGCGCTCTTGTACAGGGAACACGTTATGACGGGACCCGCGCATCGGCAGAATGGGGGGTAAGTGGGCAGAACGGGGGTAAATGGGTAGAACGGGGGTAAGTGGGTAGAACGGGGGGAAGAGGGGAGAAGGGGGGGAAGTGGCCAGAATGGGGGGGAGGTGGGCAGAACAGGGGGTAAGTGGGCAGTGGGGGGTAAGTGGGCAGAATGGGGGGTAAGTGGGCAGAACGGGGGGTAAATGGGCAGAACGGGGGGTGAGTGAGCAGTAGTGTTGAAAATGACCAAAGCAGTGTTTTGTAATTATTGTGCTTATTGTGTTCATCCCTGGTGAAAATGTCCAATGATATTTATTTATTATTGCAGGAAGAAGGGCATATTTCCATGTTCGGAGTGCGACAATACCTATGCTAGAAAAGAATCCTTGAAGAACCACCACGACTTCGTACACTTGAAGAAATCCAGGTTTAAATGCGTGGAGTGTAATAATAAGGTATGCCATCATCATCAACATCATCATTTCAGCTACAGGACGTCCACTGCTGAACATAGGCCTCCCCCAATGACTTCCACATCGCACGGTTGGTAGCAGCCTGCATCCAGCGCCTTCCTGCTACCTTTATGGGGTCGTCGGTCCACCTTGGACGTCCCACGCTGCGCTTTTCGGTACGCGGCCTCCACTCTAGAACCTTGCTGCCCCATCGGCCGTCAGTTCTGCGTACTATGTGCCCTGCCCATTGCCACTTCAGCTTGCTAATCCGTCGGGCTATGTCAGCGATTTTAGTTCGTTTACGGATCTCCTCATTTCATATTTCATATTCATTTATTCACTTCGCAATGTTACACGAGTTCCAACAATAAAGTGTAGTAGGTACAAGATGTTCAAAATGTTACATTGCTACCTCCTAGAGGTATATGTGATTTGTAATTATTAAATTAGGCATTTTATCAATCCATAAGATAAAATTAGAACTTTTAATAATTTTGCAAATGTAGGTAAAAGCATGAACTGAATAAGGTATGTATTATTCTAATATCCATTAAAATTATACATAAGGTGAGAGAGTAAAGACTAGAGCCTTTATGAGGTCGTCGGTCCACCTTATTGGAGGCCTACCCACACTACTTCTTCATTAGGAACGTAGCACACTTATCAACCCGGAAAGGGATCGTAATCGTAACCGTATCAACTCGAGGCGGTCAGTATTCTTTGTATGAAACTCCATACTGCAACGCACACATCCGCACCGTAACGTAAACGCCTCGCCTTGTTGACAGCGCGCGAAAGGCGATACGATGTTGATCCCTTTCCGAGTTGATAAGTCTGCTACACCTTTATACTAGGGATGTTATGGATATGTAGCTTAGGTTATGGATTAGAGGTGGGCGCCACGCCGGCGCGCCGCCGCCGCCGCGAAAATTTTCACGCCGCCGCCGCCGACGACCAGCTGTCGGCGCGCCGATACTGATACTGTACAAACTATTTGCAATTTATTCCTCTCCTATACTGTACTAATTTGTGTTTCAAACGCAGAAGAACTATTTTTTTATTGAGTTGAGCGGCTATTCTAGTTCAATAAAGTCCTAGTATCACTGCGACCGGTACCGATCTATTGTGATCGCCGCTATTTTCCTTACAGTTCGCCTCCGAGTCCTGCATCCATTAGGAATTGCAGTATCTTTTGGGGGGAGATATGTTTTACATCTTGTTGGCTTAGGATGTGTTTGCCCAGGTGTAAGCTCCGCTTGCGCATCAAAGCTCCGCAGTCCGTGAGAATGTGTAGTGGCGTTTCATCTGCCTCTTGGCACATCCTGCACGTTCTTGATTCGGACAGTCCCATAGTGGACAAGTGCTTGTTTAAGCTGCAGTGTCCAGTGAAGGCTCGAACTAAGATGCGCATTTTGATCCTACTCAGTCCTATGATCTGCTTAGAGCATTTTCGGTCATAGGCTTTTATAAGAGCTTTGGAATGAGTTAATCATGGCGTGTCTGACCATTCCTTAAAGGATTTGTTTAAATAGATGTTCTCCAGGGTCATTCGAGCGAGACTTTTGCAAACGCCACAAAAGGGGTTCCATATTGTGTTCCCTCCGCTCTCGCTCTGGCCAGTTTCACGATTCCCGCGTGACCTGGAACCCATCTCAGCGTTACTCTGTTACGTTTTCCTAGGGTATTCAGTCGACTCATGCAGTTTTCTACCAACTTGGAGGTGATTAAGATGGAGTTTATAGCCATCAGCGCGGCCTGACTGTCTGAGTTAATGTAAATTATGTGGTTGGCATAATTTTTTCGCAGGTTAGCTTCCGCACATTCAATAATGGCGTAGACTTCTGCCTGAAAGATAGAGGCAAATTTACCCAGGCTTTGAGATAGCCTAAGCTTCGGCTGCTCTCCATACACGCCAAAGCCTAGGTTAGGGCCTATTTTTGACCCATCAGTAAACAGAAGAACTAACTATAATATTTATTCTTTAATGCCATATAAATTGGTACACAAGGCGAACTTAATGCCGTTGATATACTAATAAATTGATTGAATAACTTAATACTAACTATACTCAACATCAAATAAACCGCACCTTCCGCGACGCGAACTTTAACGATTTTCTTCTGACACAATCATGGTGCCCCAACAATATTGGTGTTATTTGAAAGCCCAATAAATATCCTTAAAGAAAAACACATTTAATTTCTTAATAAATGATTAACATATACCATAAATGTGACTTGAAAAAATACCTCACTTTGGGCCCACCTATGGGATCAATTAGACCAATTTTTATGGTTATAAAACCAAATAATGATCTCACGTGTCCTCTTTAACAGATGGATAGCGATGAATCCCAACTTAACAGTTTTATAGCCATAAAAGTTGGCTCTAGCGTAACTACCTATTTTTTGAAGAAGTGACTCTACATCCTTCTAAAGACACATTTTTGGGGTAAAAACCTTTCCTTTAATGAAATGAAGGTTAGAACTAGGCTTTTAAATGGTGCCAATATTGGTGGGAAGTGGGGAAGCATACGTTTGAAAATGCTTGTCGCGGGAGGTGCGATTTATTTGACGTCGAGTGTATATTAACAGTTAATCAAGTACATTATTCAAGTTACTGCTTGGTCTAGTAAATAATTGATCGCGAGAGGCGCCGGTCCCTCTTGCTGTCAAGAAAAAAATCCCCGCCTTCGTCTGGCAGATAACCCACACTATTGGACTATAATTTAAGCGAATCACTCACACAGAGATTGGCAAATATGTCTCGGAATGCAAATGGGAACCACAACCTCTGGAAGGCAACAAAGTACCTCCCTCAAAGTGTTCTCCGCTTATTAGGTCCGGTAATACATGAGTGGCGAGTGCGAACTAACAAGAAAAATCTCAGACTTTTGCTACATGACAAGCCGGGTTATTTAAACCCATTGACACGGATAATCCCTTACTACCCTATACCTTAATAACCTTCCCATTGTGATTTGAGAGGGCTCATTTTGCATCTTTTCGTATGCTACTTCTGGACATTTTTGTACTTGACTATCTGAGGAGTTGACCGCCATGTTTCCGCTTACCCTCCTCAAGTTCAAAGTAGAAGATTGATTCCTACTACGCTAATTGGGGACGAAAGACGCAGGAGGACAAAGGGACTGACATAGCCCACAGAATCGCTAAAATGCGGCAGTGGGCGGGGCACATATCTCGTAGAGCTGATGGCCGCTGTGGCAGTAAAGTTTTTGAGTGGCGACCACGAGCCGGAAGACGTAGCGTGGCCAGGCCTCCCACTAGGTGGACCGACGATTTAGGGAAGGTCGCAAGAAGTGCATGGATGCGAGCGGCGCAGGACGTCTTTCGGCTGAAACGAAAGAACTAACGCTAAGAGAGATGGCTAAGCTAAAGAAATAGCCAAAATGGACCCTCGTATAAAGCACTTGCATTTGATCTGATCACCATGAAGTCCATGGTTTTGACAATGACCACACTGAGTGAGAAGAACCTCGCAAGTCTCTTAACTTTGGAAATGATCCATAAGGCTGGCAAGACGCCTAACGAATTCTCTTATCGCTCAATTAATCTGACATTTGTATTGTTAAAATTATGGAAAAGGATCATTCTTGCTCGTTTATTCCCTTGCCTAAGTATGACCCATGTAATATAGTATACCCGACCATAAATTTTGGCAGAAACCATACTAACCATAATCAGTACAATGTTTGGAAAAGAAAGAATCCTGTACGTTTGCTTTCGCTGCGGCTTCAGCTGGGTTTATCACAGGGTTCGAGGATATATATCAAGGGATATATATCAAGATATATATCGGATATATATCCGATATATATCAAGCCGGTTTTGATGATATATATCAACTTTTAAAATTTGTTACTGGATTTGTACTTTTTGACATAAGATTTTTATTTTTTTAGGTTGTTTGGCCGTATTTCAAAGATATTTCATGTTTTTGCTTTATTTGTCTGATTTTAAGTTTTAAAAACATTAAAAACATGTTTATGTAACACATATGCAATAGTATTCATGAATAATGCAATAAAATAATACTATGGCTTTCATACAAAATTGATATATATCAAAGTTGATATATATCGGATATATATCATAAATATCCGATAATACAGGGTGGAAACGATAAGTGATCTCATTCGATTATTTCTAAACTATACAAGATATCGAAAAGCTGGTTACTGATCCTGAAAGTGCTTTACTAGCTCTATCCAACAGTACCATTAATAGGTTACAGAATAAACTGGATCTATCCGAAAATTTAATGTTTCCAGCTTCCATACATTTCGTTAAACCACATAATATTAAAAACTATTCAAGATATTAAAAAACTGGTTATTGATCCTGAAAGTGCTTAACGAGCTCTATCCAACGATACTAATAATAGGTTACAAAATAAACTGGATCCATCCGAAAATTCAATGTTTCCAGCTTCCATACATTTAGTACAGCCACAGTCATGGCACTCGTGTCTTGATAATATTATAGCAAGTAAAGCCTAAAACCAATGTTTTCAAAGAATAATTTTAAAGAAGAATGTAATTTACGAGTTCATTTTATGTGTTTGTTAATTAATAAAAAAACTTAATACTTTTAATATTGTTTGGCTGGCATACATTTAGTATGGAGGCTGGAAACACAAAATTTTTTGATAGATCCAGTTAATTGTGTAACATATTATTGGTACCGTTGGATAGAGCTAGTGAAGAACTTTCAGGATCAGCAATCAGCTTTTCGATATCTTGTATAGTTTAGAAATAATCGAATGAGATCACTTATCGTTTCCACCCTGTAGATTCAAATGGTTTTCATGTTCCTAGCAAGTATCAAGTAAATTGTATTTCAAGTAGTTAATTAGAAACATTCAATTAATGATAATACGAGCAAGTGACGATTGATGAATGATACATGATATAGGTACCCTCTTTCCCAAGCTCTTTCACCTAATTCAGTAGGTAAAGATGTATTGTGGCACTTTACTGAAATCTGACGCGGACTTCTTGAGAGAACTTGAAAAGTGATGTCGCTCTTTGTTTCATTTGTCAACACTCATGCACTTTTACGAACACTTCATAGTTAATAACCCGCCATTATTACGTATTAATATCCGACATAAACACACATTTTAGAAATTATACAAAACTTCGTAACAAGACGCTTCACTTTCCCGCGAAAAAAAAAGTCAATCACAAATCTTCTAATGGCGCACGTACACTATGTGGGAAATTAATCGAGACATATGGTGTAAACACGCACTTAGGTTAGTTTCGCCTTGCGATACCCATACTTCGGTGAGCGGCTTCGCGCTACGTCTCGGTCAATTTCCCCGCATAGTGTACTTGCGCCATTAGACTTTATTTTTTATTTATTTTATCTGTGAAAATCATTGAATCGGTCAAATAATAGAACGTCTTTGTGACAAATTATGACAATGGAACGAGGCACCCACTTTATATAAAGCAAACAACGACATCTATTAAAATAAGAGTGTAAACTATATATTTTACTGCTTAGATTTAGATACCGCTGAACAAAATTCTAACACTATCACAAAATGTCTGTTTAAAAAGTTTGTAATCTTTCCTTTTGACTTTTCCTAGAGCAATAATCTTTAAAAAATTGGTGTAAAAATTGAAAAATAAATGCTTTACAAAAAATATATTTCTGATTGATCGAATATTAGTTCTAGTTTAGAAATCGAGATGGCGTTTATCTGATATTCCGAACATGAGACATGATGACAGGAGAGGTTCTGTGACAACCTCAACAGCTATCAAATGTCATTTCATTTCTTTGAAATGAAAACATTTCAAATTGTAGTCTATTTTTAGTATTTTCCCACGTTTTACATTAACATTTTGAGTACTTTCTTTGAATTTTACAGTTATTGCTTACGTTTGTCTTTTCTTCAATTTAAAATGGGTCGAAAATCTCACTCAAAACAGACCACCAAAAAGAACTCTGGTAAAGAAAATAACAGGACGATTCAGAAAAGAAAGGAACTTTCAGTATTAGTTGATAAAGTTCTTCGACTAACTAGCATATTCCAAGCAGCTTGTAGCTTAACCAAGAGTTGGGAGCACCATTTGGAAATCTTTGAGATCCTCAAGGAAATCAGTAATGTTGAGACTGCATACTCCGGCAAAAGTAAGCCGATTCCACGTAAGGCAAATATTGAGAAGTACTTACAGTGGTTAAATGACAATGAAGCACAATTTGAAGGTAAGCTGCCCTATTTTCTATGAACCTAACAATCACTAATAAATACAATTCTAACTTCTTCCCAACAGAATTTCCTTTCTGGAATAGATCAGGTAGCTACTTTTAAATCATACCATCCTTGATCCATCAACTATTCAATGAAATTAATAAAAATATGTGGAGATAACGATTACAACTAAGTTTCTGTTGTTGTCATAAGTTTCTATGCTAATAATATTTAGGTAATACTGTGTAAATTAAACTATTTTAATGTTATTTGAAAATGAAATTTTCAGGTGTGGAAATTAGCGAGTTTGATGGCTATGAGCTTGGTTTGAAGGCCGTCAAAGAGTTTAAAGAAGACTCACTAATTCTCACGGTGCCCACCAAAGTCATGATGACGGAAAAGAATGCCCACGAATCGGAGTTGTCAGAATTTATAAAAGTTGATCCACTGCTTCAGAATATGCCAAATATTACACTTGCATTGTTCCTGTTATTAGAGAAAAATAATCCAGGTAAAATAAACATTACATTTTAGAATAATTTACAACTGACGAATAAACTAGTTACTGAATTATTTATACAAGGAAAATGGGTATATGAGCCGACACTAGCCCATGTTAACATGGTCATATAAATGGTATGGTGAAGTCAGAAAATTGATATCTTCATTTTAATTATTTTAATTTTCATACAAATTGGATTTTATAAAATTTATTTTGTAAAATCCAATTTATCATTTACCTAACACCCTGTATATGATATTACATTACAGATTCTCTTTGGAAACCATACATTGATATATTACCAGAAAAATATTCAACTATCCTATACTTCAATCTAAAAGAATTGGCAGCGCTTAAGGTACGATTAATGCTAATGTGTACATGCATGCATGTGGTTATCCACAAGAACTGTTATTTAAATTAATTGTATTAGATTTATCATTATATTTAATTGTGTTCTGTCTCCATGTTTTCAGCCATCACCTGTTTTCGAATCATCCCTGAAACTCTACAGAAGTATTGCAAGACAGTATGCCTATTTCTATAACAAGATACATACTCTTGATTTGCCAGTACTAAAAAAGCTCCAAGAAATTTTCACATTTGAAAACTACAGGTGAGTAAAAGAATCTCCTTTAAATATCCTTTTTATTGTGAAGATCAATCAGATATAAAAACAATAAAAATGTAAACTAAGTCAAGGATTGCACTTCCCTCATAATAATACTGAAATTTAATTTATGTTAAAATAATTAACTTGTGTATTATTATTAATAATAATGCTTACTTTCAAAGTAAGACATGTTATTTTTTTTGGTGCAAAGTTACAAGATAAAAATATAACTGGGAAAACAGAGAATGGGAGATTAAAAACATTAAAATTGCTTAAAAAATATATCCCTATTCTCTTACATCGATCAGGTCACTAGTTAAATTATGTTAAAGGTCTTTTAATCACTTAACTCAATACAACATTATGCACTATTGTCACACAATTAACTAGCATAAATGGAATGCATGTATGAAAAAGACCTTTAAAAAAATAACTATCATATTTAAAATCTAAAATAGATCAATATTTATACTTACACTTTCAGTCTAATAACTTACAACTTCAATACTTCTTACCTACTGCTTAAATAACTTTACTGGAATGGTTTTCGTAATGTGTCCCACATGTATTCTGGTGAATCTTTACCAGTTTGTGATTCCAGTGTGTTCATTGTATAAATATTAGATGTGGGAAGCATTGGACTGATGCTTCTGCTGCTACAATTTTTCTTAACTTTTCTGTTTTCAAAAACAGGAGTTGGAATTCTCTCATCGCCAAAAGTCTTCTTGTGACTTACAGATCTTTGTTGTTTCCATTTCAGAGCAGCGTATGTAAGTAAAAACAGTATCATTGCAAGTCCGACTATACTTGCTGTGGCCACTGTGACCGATTTGGCGCTACTCGGCGCATTCTTCAAAATGCCTGGTTCTTGAGAAGTTTCATCTGCCCCTTCATAGGAATTGAATTCAATCTTCTCTTCTGACACTGTAGCGACCTTCTTTTCCGTACTCTTAAGACTTTGCAAATCTTCAAGGACTATCAAGCCATCTCCATCTACATCTTCTTCCAACACAATCTTCTTATACGTTCCAGGTGGTGGTGGTAGTTCTGAAATGAAAATTAATATTGTTTCAACTAAGTTTACATAACAATACTTTTTCTACAATACATAATATTAAACTCTATGCACATACCATTTGTAAGTTTTTCTAATGCTTTTGTTTCGTTCTTTTGGTTTTTTCGTATCATCGAAAATATTTCGTTCCAACTTATCATATCTTGGTCGTCATTTAACATGCGGCTTTCTCTATTTATATCGCCGTCGTCTGTAGCATTAACAGCTATGATCGTTGATTTGTAAGGAGTTCCTTTAGAATCCTGTTGCAATGTACTTTTTTCTATGTTAGGCAACGTCGTTTCTTTAGTGTGGTTATTGAACAATGACATGATACCCATGTTTTCTGCATTTTCGTTGACATTATTACCAAAGTCCATTATCACAGGAATGTTGACATGGTTCGTATAAATAGGATCTTTTGTGGTTGGTTTGGTAGCTTGCTCATGTGCATTAGCCTCTAAAATAGCTCGTAAGGGGTAGGTTTCCTTTGATATAGGTTCCAATAAAGACTTGGACAGGAATGGTTCTGGTGGATTAGGTTCACGGGACGCATTGTGAAATATGTCTGCTAGATGAACATGACTGGATCCGCGTTCTCTATGTTGTAACAATTCACTCAAAGTCATGTTTCTTTCTTTTAATATTTTGGATAACTTTGTGCTGGCTGAAAAACGAAAATTTCGTATTTTTATCGATTCATTCAAACGTAAAGAAATTATGATACTTTAGGTGTTACTAAAAATGATACTAAAAACATGACATTGATAATAAAAAAAAACTTACTGCGGGTGTCGTTTAGAATCTCTTCTATTTCGATTTTAGAAGTTTCTTCTGTGGAGAATATTAGCGGAGTTTGTGTTACACCATTCGACTTTGTAAATTCTCTCGTCGCAGGGTTCTTGGTTGTTTTTATACTTGTATGTCTGCTAGTAGTTTCTGTAGTAAGAAAATCTTCTAACTCTGTAACAGTTTCTGCGGAATCATGCGGAACTGTGGCTCTAGGTATTTGTGTTCTTGCTATAAATTCTGAAGATGACACCAAATCACCCAGCTCCAAAAGATTTTTCATAATATCATTCGATGGAGCTTCAGTGGTAGAAATCCTTTGTTTTAAGCGTTTCTTTTTCAGCCTGTTGTTAAAAGCCTGCCGGCGCAAGCCGGCTGCATTACTAATTGGACGAACAGTTGTTGGTCGTTCGGTAATGCTTGCATCCATTTCAGTGGCTAAAATCTCAATTGATATTGTTGATGGCTCTGGTACTTCGGTGTTGAAGCCACCATCTTCACTGTCGTCAAAATGATTTCTAGTTGAAACTTCGTTCGCTATGGTTGTTTCAATAGTTTCATCTAAATCAGCAATGGTTGTTGTTTCTTCAGGTATTGAAATGGTGGTAAGTGAATTACTTTCTTCTTTTTTCTTTTTATTTTCAGTTGTGTTTACAGTCATGATTAATGGAATCATATCTCTCCACTCTTTGGATTTAGTAGCATTTCTCCTATTGTGATGTATGTATCTTCGTGCACTAAGTGCGATTAAATCTCTATTAATTTGACTTTTAAATGTGTTATTTGCCATTGGACGCATGCGCAATTTCCTGCGAATTCCCGGGGGGAAACGGCGTTTGATCATGCTTCCCGAGTTTCTGTTTTCTAAAGCAACAGGTCGTTGTTCTGCATTCTTATTAAAAGCAGTAAAAGAAACATTATATTTATTTTTAACTGGAAGTGGTATAGGTTCGTTATTTTCATTGTTAGTTGGTTCTGAAAAAACTGTTACTTCTACTTCTTCATTAGTCGTATTTTGATTAGTTACATTATGGTCTTTGTCAACATTGATGTCGCTGTCGAGATTAAGATTAACATTTATTATTTCTCTTTGGCTTATCTCTAATTCTGTACTATTTGCGTTATCGTTGACAATACTATCCACATTATTGTCTTTGGTACTTGAATGGTTGTCTTCGAATGACTTGAGTACAGATATCGCATTTTCTTTACCATTGAGCAAATCAGCCAGTGTTAGGTTGTGTTGTTGTAATATTTCACTTAAACTAGTTCCGTTTGATCTTTTCAGAATTTCTTTTAATGTTATTGGATCAATGGTTCCGGGCTCCTGAAAATAAGTGTTATTATTAATATTTCTAAATGTGATAATAGAGTCATAATACATAATATCCATTTTAAACTATCTAGGATAGTAAAAATTATAAACTACCTACATAAAATATAGATAGAGCTAAGAAGTAATGTTAAAATTACTAATAGTAGTGAGTATAAGTAGTCCTACACTATCTAGCGTAGTTAGTCATTTCTAATCGTAAGTGTTTATTACTTTGGATAGTTTTACAGTATCAAATATCCATAATTATTAGTTTACTATTACATTTTCAGATAAACCTTTAGCTAGGTACCCTTTTTAATTCTCGTTCCATCAAATGCATATTTGATTCATCTAAATGAGCCTTGAATCCCAGTTTATCTCTTATTTTCTTTGGAATATCGAGTATTTTCTTATTACTACTCTCTAGCAGCATTTTTCGTAAGTCTACAGAATCGTCTATTTTGTCTTGGGACTTCACTTGCTCTATGAGCTCATTTAGTGTGTATGTAATAGGTTTCTTGTTTCTACCTCCAGGGGTAATTATAAATGTGACATAGTCACTTCTAAAGTCAAAATATTTATCTAGTTCTAAAAATAAAGTCTTTTCCTAAAATTATAAATATTAAACATTATTTGGCACAAAGAACGTTACTAGAATTGAAATTAAATTGTTTTAAATTAATTACAACAAAAATCTCACCTGTGCTTTATCCATGTTTAAAAATATTCTAGGTGATTTTTCTCTTAATTTGTCATCGATGTCAGGTGATTGATCATCCTCGGTAGGCTCGAGAGGGCCCATAAGTTCCATAGAAAATTCAGATAGTGATTTATCTTCTTTAGCTAATTTTTCTTTCTCAGGCCTTTCTTCTTCATTGCCAGTTTCTTGTGATATGACGTACCGTGAGTTTGAATTTGGCCGTCTTAGTTTGGTTCTCTCTTTTGGCACATAATCATCAGAAACTGGATGTCTAATTTTGGTTCTTACATGTTCATCATAGTCGTCTTCAATTCGTTTTCGTGAATAATAACCATGACCTTGGCCGTCAGCTTCGTCACTTGTGTGAATGTCTCGGTCTTTATCATCTCTGTGGTAGTCTCCAAATTCGCTTAATCGCGGCCAGTTACCCAAAGATGGTCTTTTTCTTCTTTGTCCCCGTTTTCTCATCGGTCTATCTGGATCTATAGCACCTTCGGTCCATCGATTCGGTCTAAGCTTTTGACGACGTCTTCCTGTTTCTGGGTCTTGGTCGTTCACTTCCTCTTGTTCGACAGGGGGTAATGTTAATTCTTTTTCTGTCGGTTCTTCTTCTAATGACGCCGGAGGTCTACGTTTCCGCTTGCGCCCAAGTTTTCGGCGCACCGGTGGTTCATCTTGGGAGTCGTTGTGCCAAACCTCGCCTTGTGCGGATTGCTGCGTTATTGGTTCTGGTCGAACCACTCTCCAAGGCTGGAAATGATACGAAAAGTATATGAGTACAATGCTACAGTAACCTAGTCGATAACATAAATTATTATTATAAATATTTATTTTAATAATAATATCTCATTCCTCGGAGGAGCGTAAGTATACAGTTAATAACAGTTAGTTATTCTGATAATTGTCTGTATTAGGATTGCAATGTGTGTGAATTGTGAATGAAACTTTTCGCAGTGTGTTCTTACTTGCATCTTATGAAAGGAAAACCTTAGCTTACGTAAACGTTTAGACGGTTTGCGCTCCATATACCCCGTACATTGTTTGTTAACGAAAAAACCATCGCGAGTCGCGTGTGAAACCAGCCAACAATCCGAAGAATACATATTTGGCAAAAACGTTTCTATTACGGTGTAATTAACTCACAATTATCTTGTAACCGAGTATTGAGGTACTGATGCGTGCTATCGTACCTCGGCGTAGAAAGTGTCGCCAATTAGTTAGTCAATCCTATTATTTGCTGTACAAACTGTCGTAGAATGTTACAAATCTTTCTTTAAGTGTGCCTAACGTGTCGATTACGTTAATACCGATTCTTTACCGACGCATCATTAATGTATAAGACAGTGTACATAATATATCGATGTGCTCAATATTGTATCGTAACGTAAAGGTAATCTCAGTTACTGAAATAATATATTTGAAATAACATATTCCATAAACAGAAAAAACAAATGCGTGTAAAACAAAAACAGGCAACTAGTAGATACCTCCACGGGGATTTTGACTAATAAATAGCAGGTTATTTAACGCGATTAGATTAAATTAATTATTTGTATTATAGCAATTAGCAAATCGTGTAATAGTTCGTTATCCTTTGGCTCTTATTTCTTTTGAAAGTATTGAGTATTATTGGTATCGTGTTTACCGTTTCTGTTTTAGGCAACCTGCTTCTTTATTTCGTATAAGTCAATACATATAACATGAACACGGAGTGTAGTCATAAAATAAATAAATGACATGTTGTTGACAACATAAACACAATTAATTTAAAAATAAATAAAATATTTCTGCCAATTAGTGTTTTGTTTCAGTTACTGACTCTTTATTTTGATTGTAATTAAGATAGGCAGGTACTTGATTAATGTAAGTCTCGTTAACTGGTGTGGGAACTAATTCTCTGATTCACTGTCACTTGGCATCAAACGAAAGTAAAATTATCTATTGAGTATGATATGCTGTTACAATACACGTGTATTACCGATTATAAAGCAAACCAGGGGTAAATTGACCTGCACCGAACCCATCTTATAAAATGTCGTAGGTATCTTTTGTTTTTAGTGTTTGTTAATCTGCACCACCACATACACAAAATAAGGTCCCTATTTAATTTGATCGTTTCGTATACCTAGTAAGTCTGGCCTCGTGTGCTCTACCGGATTCTCTCAAGTGTGAAGGTTAAGTAGGGAAATAGACTAATTTATATTCTACCAAAGCCAGAAATCTTATTTTATGGTTACGACCATCTTCTGATGCAGCTCTGTAAAGCCAATCAAGTAACTATCCGCTTCAGAATAACCAATATTTTAAAATGTTTGTAGTTTAAAATCCAGTGTAATCATAAAATTTTAACATAGTAAAGTTTCATCAAAATCCTCCCAGTAATTTTTGCTCAAATGAGAAACAAACATCGTGGTGGACATTTCTTCAGTACAAATAATTACCAAACAACCTATTTTTATAATTATTGACAACGTTTGAGAAGCGAAATTACCTCTCAATTTGTTATAAGTAGGTATGTAATTTCTCTATATTATTAACACATTATTTGTGTGTTACTGTTGACTAGCTACTTTCGGTTTCATTATAATTATCAGTTATGATCATTATTACCTCAGTAATGAATAGAAAAAAGAATTATGTTACCGAATAAATAATAGAAATTAGCACAATTTATTGACACAGAAAGTTAATTGATATCTTCAACGCGAACTAGACCGCATTTCTAAGAATGAAACTCGGTTGAAACCGAGTGACTCCAATACCTCATACGAGTATAATTTTCGATATAACTATCAATTACTTAGGCTTATGCCACACTACCAATAAATAGAATTTGCGATTGCTCCATTTGCGCATCAAGAGAAATAAGGCGTTCAGGTTAATGTTTTTGAAACTTATAGTGCAGTTTTCACTGTGAATTTACGCGTTCTTTTTAAAACTTATAATACGGTTTTGCCTTTGTAAAAAGTTACATTTCATTCACAACACTGGCTTGGGATGAATCCGCGATCGCAAAAAAAAATACAAAGTCAACGTCTGAGCCGTATGAGGTGCATTTTTAATTGTTTAAAGGTTAATAGATAAATAAGTTTTCTTCAACTTAATAATCACTACTACAACAGTGACTGTTTTAAAAAATCTTCGAGGGCTGGCGGGTGCAACTAGAAATAACTAACTTTACAGCTATAATGAATTAAATAAATAATAAAACTACGCTTCCTCACACTGTAGTGTAGCTTTACCCTAACTCGCGAAGAGCTATGTGCCTTATAAAGAAAACTCACTGGACCTCGACCGAGCTATAAGCGGCGTAGGAGGCGTGGCACTGGATGGATGTACAATGTTTGTTACCATCTGTTAGTTTTTACTGAACAATATGATTAAAGAGCTAAAGATTTTGTGGCTTTACAATGTTGAAACGCAGTTTAGTCATAATAACTCTGAATAACTTTTCAAACTTCAGTTTTTTTTCTTCTTCTTCGTGTAGTGAAGCTATGAAAATTTTCAATTATTATATTATGTCCTATCAGTAGTTCAATAAAAGTACCTACATATTACTATACTAATACCTACATTGAAAACAAAATTTACATCTCAATATAACAAAAGCTTCCGATTGTAACACTTCTCCCATTTATTGACTATTTCCGACACTCGTAACTATCTAAATTAAGTCAATAAAAATAAACCTTCCCATAACTATTATACGTTGACGAATTAATCACCACTTAACAAATCCACAATAAACACAATGGCCAAACCGGTTACTTAATAACAGTTATCACAACATTCCGTCTCATATTTCACTCTACAAATCATCTAGTGCTGCCCGCCGTTAACCAGCAATTACCGAGTCGGCAAACATTCGATACTCGGTCGCAACTAATCAAACATAATTTAGTTATCTCATCGTCAAAGAAAGCGGTTACAGCATCGATGCCATAACACAATAAGATGAAAGTTGAAAGCGCAGACCGGTCGCTTCGAACTTGAGTTCGTGGTGCTTATGTTAATGATGTGTAATGCTGTAACATTTATGCTAAAGTTCACTTAGTGAGGTTTCTAAATTATCACATAAATGAGATAACTTTAATTCAGATTATCGATACGTATTTGGAGGCTAGCATAATTGCATAGCTGCTGTTTATATTGAAAAGTGGTTCTTAAGAGAATTATTAGAAATTCTTCTAGCGATATCTGGTATTCGCTTATTATTTTAGTTTAAAACTCTGGAAAGTGTGCTTTTGTAGCAGTCCACAGGTTAAAATGTACAATATCGTTTGTCTTTTGTAACTTTACAGTGACAATGAAAATAACAATTAAATTCTCAATGCCAAAATAATGCTTATGTGCTAGATTAAGACGCGGTCAGTGTACCCTGGTGGTATATTTTAATGAAATTAAAATTAGTGTTCTCTCACAATGTCACGCTGCCGTGGGTCTCTCAGTGAACCAGCCTTCAAATAACAGAGCTAAGCACAATGAACTCGCATCAACATAATTTCTCCGTTGCTGCTTCTGGTTCTAGATCTTAGCATGAGGATAAGTATAGCAAAAATAATAGCGTTTATATGTATACGAAGTGCTTATTCTGCGGTTACAGTTAGAAAAGCTTACTTTTTGTGCCCAAATTATGAGCATACACTATTTACTTAAAGTACTTACTTATTTAGTCAGAACACCTGATGGATTGTAGATTCTAGAAGCATAGTTAAGATCTACTCCTAGACTGTGAAGAGAATGAGCCAGATGGTCCATGACATGACACTGGCGAAATGTTTACATAAGTAAACATTATTATTTAATATTTGGCTCATAAGAGCCAAATGTTTTGTGGATGAGTGTACATAGTACTATTATAGTGAGAACACATGATGGATTGTACACTCGCGAGCAAAACTATGGAATCACTTACATGAAGTTGTTTCCACGCGAACTTGTGTACTAACGAATTTGTTAGTAACAAAAAAAGTAGCACCATTTTAAAGATTAAAGTTTGATCTTTAAATTGATACCAAATTCATTTAAATCACACCAGTATTTAAAAAGATATCCCGGCTGATGTGAAGAAGTAACGAAAAAGACATGTATGAACTGTTTGATACGTCGCGAGTTGCGGCCTATTTAGCCCCTATAAAAGCACGCGTTTTTAGATTTTTGCTTTCACACGTTGATTCATACACATCTCCGCTTCTTTTGACACTTTACCTGGGATTCTACACCTTCAGAAGCAGCACAAATCGTTGCACTATTGCAAGAAAGGCTCAGCCAGCGGGCTGTCGCACGTCAGCGCCACATAAGCCAGTCCTGGGTTTCGAAAGTTTCAAGACGCTTTCGGGAGACTAGTGGCTTTATCCCGAGACCAAGTTCTGAACAGCGCCGGTGCACATCGCAGAGGGAAGACCGTTTTTTCATGTCAACCTCTCTATGAAATCGTCATTTGACTGGAATCGATGTCCATCAAGAGCTCAGAAATGTTCGTAAGATAGCTATTAGCGAGTGGACAGTTCGTCTAAGATATAAGCAATAGAATTTGACTCCAAAAAGGCCTGCCACAGGCTCGAAACTGACGGCAGGTCACCGATAAGCACCCTTTCAATTTGCTCGTACACATCTCGATGGGAAGGCGAGTAATGGAGGCGAGTTCTGTTCTCCGATGAATGCAAACTGTGTTTGCAGGGCAGCAGTCGAAGAGGTCGGGTTTATAGGCGGCCTGAGGAGCGATTTGTGCAGTGCTGGTTCGCTGAAACAGTGGCTTATGGGGGTGGCTTGCTCGACTTAACATCGAGATGTGTACGAGCAAATTGAAAGCGTGCTTATCGGTGACCTGCCGTCAGTTTCGAGCCTGTGGCAGGCCTTTTTGGAGTTAAATTCTATTGCTTATGTCTTAGACAAACTGTCTACTCGCTAACAGCTATCCTACGAACATTTCTGAGCTCTTACTGGACGTCGATTCCAGTCAAATGACGATTTCATAGAGAGGTTGACATGAAAAAACGGTCTTCCCTCTGCGATGTGCGCCGGCGCTGTTCAGAACTTGGTCTCGGGATAAAGCCACCAGTCTCCCGAAAGCGTCTTAAAACTTTCGAAACCCAGGACTGGCTTATGTGGCGCTGACGTGCGACAGCTCGCTGGCTGAGCCCTTCTTGCAATAGTGCAACGATTTGTGCTGCTTCTGAAGGTGTAGAATCCCAGGTAAAGTGTCAAAAGAAGCGGAGATGTGTATGAATCAACGTGTGAAAGCAAAAATCCGAAAACGCGTGCTTTTATAGGGAGTAAATAGGCCGCAACTCGCGACGTATCGAACAGTTCATACATGTCTTTTTCGTTACTTCTTCACATCAGCCGGGATATCTTTTTAAATACTGGTGTGATTTAAATGAATTTGGTATCAATTTAAAGATAAAAGTTTAAACTTTAAAATGGTGCCACTTTCTTTGTTCCTAACAAATTTGTTAGTACACAAGTTCGCGTGGAAACAACTTCATGTAAGTGATTCCATACTTTTGCTCGCGAATGTAGATACATACTAGAAGCATAGATAGGATCTACTCCTAGACTGAAGAAAATGAGCCAGATGGTACATGAATGACACTGGGGAAATGTTTCCTTATGAGCCAAGTATTTTGGCTTTATGGGTGAGTGTACGTGTAATTAAAAATAATTAGACTTCCGCTTGGATTATTTATTAAAAAGATTTATTTTTTTGTTTTGGACAGGAAAATTCAATCGTTTCTTAGTGACAAGTGGCTGTCATCTATCAATTAGGTACTGTCAGGATAGATGAAGTGTGAAAAACTTAATAAATAGTGTTACCAGTTGACAGAGCCTAATGTCTTTAATTATAGTTTGCTAGTTGACAATGGAATTAATAGGTAAATGCTATTAGAATATTTTTTACATAATGTTTACCTATTGTAGGGCTTTGATGAGTTTAGTACTAATTTTCGATACTTATTGCTACCAAGAACCTCAGTGAATGACATTTTTTTTACGGTTAATCGTCTTGTTGGATATTTATTTATTTCTTCTACCTTATGGTTTCTTATCCACCTTGATATAAGACGTAAAGTTTAATTACCTGTTTTATAGTTACAGCCAAGTCCTATCAAACAAGTTCAAATATCAATGCCCATAATTTGAAGTTTCACCCGCAGACCATGCAGGCGGGCACTGTCTAATTGTTGGCCATAGACTGTGGTTAGCACACGCTCCAATTGCCTTTCCAGGCTCGCCCAGATTTCTAAGTGGACGGACCACTCGCAAACTAGACCACAAGCACCATAATAGTCACATCATGTTTATGGGAAAACATAGGCTCAAACGGCAAAATTACAAGCTGATAAAGCTGGCGGAAAACACTAGGCATTTGGTAAGCACAGATCCTTTTGTGGTACCCGAGCGTGATATGAGGCAAAATGGCGACGTAGAGGTAGCAAACCTAGAGCTCGTACCTATTAATATTTAAAAATTAAATTATTTAAAATAATTTGCTGAGATCTAACTTGGCTTGAGGATCTAAGTTCTGCTTATACTGCTGTCTTGCCTATAGACAGCAGTATAAAACACCACTAATTATTCTTCTGAAAGTCGAAAGACACTCTAGTCCTAGTTTTAAAATCGAATAGGTCTTTGTCGGTCACCGAGTTTTAGGCTTTATTCTATGGGTACAGCTGAAACATAACTCCACCTACAACTTCCAGAAAACATATCCTGCTTTAGATACATACAGAAAAGTCGGCCATTTTTTAAATCCTTCAATAAACAATTACAAATCTAATGAAATCTAATGTAATCCATTACATAACACGTCTGTGTAAACCGTCCATCTTATTTTGTTTTCTTCCGTTTATAATTGCTTATTTTATTGGATGTAAAAAAATATAACGGCATACAAGCAATAAACAATAACATCCAGTCATCTTTATAAATCGAAATCGATAAACAATGTTCTTCATTGCATCGCCGACATATCATACTTGCAATGATAAATATCATGTATCATTAGAAGTAAGATGTTGTTAACACGACTCTTATTTAATACTTCAGTCGAACAAATACAATATTGATTTACTGAAGAATTAAAAAACAACTGAACAGCTAATCGCAAGAATATAATAAATGTCATTCATATTGTCACTTTTAATCTGCTTCATAAAACAAAAGATAGCAGATAATCTAAAAAGAATTTAATCTCGAAAAAGCTTTATGTAAATGCATCAAAACTATTGTGTGAATAAATTATTCCGATTAATGCTGTAGAACAAAACGCCGAAACATGTTACTTCTTTGTTTAAAATTAAATAGAGAAAGCCAAATAAAATTGTCACATAAGCTTAAGCATGAGAAATGATATCAATAGTTATTGAGTCACATCATAATAGGTTTATCTTAATAAACAAGATTACTTTCACCTGTCACTATTATAGGGATTCTTCTATGAATTGTTCATAATCGGAATGTATTTCTTACTCCTAGTTTGAACCTGTTTGAATACAATATTTTGAGAATGTTTAATCCGGTTACTAAAACATTACTCATATAGAGAGCTTTACTCTATATTGTATGATCGTGAGAATATAAATTATTCCTGAAGTGACTGACTTATCCGAGGAATACACATTTACATGCCATGGCATGTCATAGATGATGACTATGATTTTAGTATTTCTATGATAACATAGAGCCACACGGAAGCTCTACATAAACTCAAAATGAATGTCAACGCTAATAAACTGGGTATTAAAAAACAATGAGGGCTATCGTTTTAGCGCTCACCAGTTAGCGCCACTGTAGAGTAAGGTCCTGTCACTTGCTAGTAGCGAAGACAGTGGCACCAACTGGTGAGCGCAAAAGTGGTAGGAGGACTATCGCATTTGCTCTCATCAAGATGGCGCCACTGTAGAGTAAGGTCCTGTCAATCGCCAGGGGTTCCAACTGTTAAGTATAAAAACGATAGCCCTCATTGAAGACGGATTTCTTTTTTATTTTGAGAATATATTTTTTGTGGTACATTACATCAATCATACCTACTTAAATTTTTTGCAAATGTTCAAGTTTATTACTTGTTACTTACTTTTTGTTTAGCAATCCGTGACTAATTTTAGATAGGGAAATATCCAATTAGGAAATCGTGTTTGAAAGTACTCTTAAAAAAGTATGTAATTTACTGGAATACATGATATAAGTATTTTTATGTAAGTGTCATTATTTTTTAAGATTACAGATCAATATTAATTACACCATTGGCCTTTAAATATAACTAACATTAACAAATAATAATATTTTAGAGACTCTAACAGAGGCTTAATCTGTTGATGTAATGTATTTATTTGAAAGTTAAATCACGTTTACAATTAAAAGTAGAAACTTGTCAAATTACCTTTTATCTATGGTGAGATAATAGCAGTCTACCCACATTTGTGTCTCGTGGGATTTATTTACGGTTACATAATTTAACTTTTTTGCTTGTTACCTATGATTTTAAAGCGTCAAACCTTTTAGCTATGGTAAACATTTACGTAAACACCTTTTTGTCAAGTACTTTTTATCCAAGAGAGATTGTGTCACCACATTATTATAGCATAAAAGAAATAACTTGGTTATCTTTAATGGCTCGAATATACGAATTACATGTAGTTGAATCTGATGTTAAGTTTAGATGCAGTCAAGTATGGTACATACTTGTACTTGCCATATAACTAACTAAAGTATGTCAATTTGTCTCGTTATGGTTGAAAAAAGGTGTTTTAGACTCCGTTATTAAACACGTAATTTAGAATTATTTCTAGGTCTTAAATTAGAATTCAAATATCAAAATCGATGTACTATTCAGAAGAATACAAGTCTTAATAGTATTATGGATAATATAATAATTAATCTTTTACTTAATAGATTTCATTCAATATACATTATAATAAGGATATAGAGCGCTTAAAGAGAACTCTACATGAACCAAGTTCTTCCACCTTTTTGCAACGCTACCTCTTCATAATTATGTTGGATTGTAAGGAAGTAATTGTTAATAAGTACCGTCAGAAGCAAAATAACCCTAACTCATTTGATGGCAGATAAGGGAAAAATTTAATTAACTTTATGGTGTCATTAAACTCTTTAACATAAGGCTTAGTAATGAGCCGAGATTAAAAAATATTCGATGTTGTTAGTATAAACTTATCTAATGTTTGTGTATAAGTTATATGAAAAAGTAATACGAGTTGTATTTCTATTTATAACAAGCAGCATAAAAGCGAGCGCAATCAGATGTAAAGTATTCTCAATCTTTTATTAAATAAATATTTGTATTAAGCGTGCAATTTTTAGACTACATATTTCTATTAATGATGAAAAAATGTTATGAATAGGCATGTGTAATTTTAATTATATTTGTTCATTCAATCATACATGAATGAGCACGTATCCCAACTAATATTATAAATGCGAAAGTAACTCTGTCTGTCTGTCTGTCTGTCTGTCTGTCTGTCTGTTACGCTTTCCCGCTTAAACCTCGCAACCGATTTTGATGAAATTTGGCATAGAGATAGTTTGAGTCCCGGGAAAGAACATAGGATAGTTTTTATCCCGGTTTTTGAAACAGGGACGCGCGCGATAAAGTTTTTCTGTGACAGACAAAATTCCACGCGGGCGAAGCCGCGGGCGGAAAGCTAGTAAAGATTATAAAAAATCACCTGTTCATCCGTAGGTCTCATATCCAGAAGCCTCGGTCGCAAGTCGAACCGGCGTTCCCGGGTATCCCTTTCCAGGTTCTCCTCGGCGGAGTGAACTATTATCACCAAAGCGGCCAGCGTACTTAACAACGGCATGGCGAATCTCCAAATAATACCCATATTATAACCAAACGTCCAACGGAAATAACAGACGCAGACTCAACACACAAATTACACTTCACTACCGCACCAAATAAACCGACGAAATATCGAACCCGGCAAGGCAAGAATCGAAGTACGAAAGGCGAAAGAATCGAAGATAAGGAAAAGAAAAGAAAGACGATATTCTCAAAGTCCGCGAACGCTTATTGTTGATTTTTCAACTGCCGATTTCAATCGAATTTGCAAGTCTAGATTTTTTATTTCTCACATCATAACTATTTGTAAACAGTCCGATACGCGACGGTTGATGCTTGGTGGAGGCAATTATGTTACTGGCTGTTTAGCAACGAGAAAAATGCGAGATTTCTCGCGGAGGTTTCCCGCGTTTTTTCTGTTTCTGAACGTGAAAGTGAATATGGCGGTTGCGGCACACGTTAGCGCGCGGCGACTCGATGCCTGCGAATGCTGAACAGAAAATGGTACCGTCGCATCGCCCGGCTCCGGTCATATTTTGATTTGGCTTTTGGATAATATTATAATACTTTAACATGGTAGAACCGGATCATGTACGCGGTAAAACTTAAACTTGAACAATGAGGGATGTGAAATGACAAATGAAAATCACAATCGCATCAGTAGAGCGAGACGCTGTCGCAGGCGATGAGGCGAATAAATACTAGAATATGCATATTGCATAAGATTGATATTCTCTCTTGTCTTGTCAAAGCAATGGTGCGTTGTAGAGCTAAGTATTTTTTAAATTTTCTATCCACTTTCATGCATTCTGTATTAGTAATGTGACATTAGTTTCACAGTAGATAAAAGCTTTATTTTGAGTATTCAGAAATAATAATTCTATTTATAAAATTTTGTAATATGAGCTTTGTTATAATTTTAATCAATGTCCTGCCCTGTATCATCCATGTCCGTGAATTCGTTCAACATTTAGCAAGTCTACTTTACTGCTCGTCCTGGTTAACAAATAACTAACAACCTGACCACAACTTTTGACCTCGTTAAACAGCTGAACTCTACTCCTCTGTTTTCAGAGCCAATTATTTCTCTCAATTCCGACAAAGTAGACAACTTCTTTCAACACCAGCAAGTCTGGTCGGTTCTGGTCGTTTCCATAGACGGAATCCCCGTGGTGTTCCGAAGACGGATCATGATGCGCATGTGAAACGGAATGCGCTCGCACTGCCTCCCGCGCGGAATGCTGCTCGTGTTGTACATTATACTATCTAATCGCGATCGACTAATGGACAATCTTATATGGATTTAATTGTTTGTTATAACGATTCGCCATTAACCAACTAGATTGGACAAAATTTACGAGCGAAACATACGGAAAATAAACTGAGCTAATGTCTGGTTTGGTGAACGAAAAACATGCGATCGGGTATTTCTGCCTAGTATTGTTTCATGTTCGTTGTCGGCATTTTATTGCAATTGCAGAAAAGACAGCAATAAAATCAATATTTACTTTGATCTGATGTTTAATCAAAACGACTTTCCAGAATAGTCCCACCTCTCTCTATCTAGGTTATTACAACTGAGGTCATAATTTTAACCTTTTTAAACCCGGGAAAATGGCCTATCTATACTCGCCGTACAGGGATCGATGAATAGTTAAGTGTGTGAGACTCTAACCCACTAAAAATCCAGGATGATCGCACTATACCGCTGAATACAGAACGTTTTGGTAACGTACGTGGTAAACACGACCAAGATGTCCTCCGCGGTCATTAGGTGTAAAAATTATACCAAGGGTTACTTGCACAAATTAATCTTGTATTTAATATGTATCTGTGTGTAGGTCGAGCTCATATGCCACGCACTAATAACAACAGACTCAGTTACCGCATCTCTTTAAACGTGACATAACATGTAATCATGTGAATATCGCAATTGAAACAGTCCCAAATACCGGTAACAGATTGCTTATTGCGTTGTTTTTTTTTCACGTTAACTTTTTATGTTGGCACTACTGACATAATTCGAGTTAATTTAAATGAGACTTTATTACAACTAATACAATTTTCATTATAATTATCTTGCGTAAATATAATAACTCTTTATACGAGGCCTATTTTAAAATTGTAATTGTTTAACGCTGCGCGTTACATTACAACATTGTATGTTTGTTAAATGTTTGTTATTGAATCAATCACATTTTATACAAGCATTAAATAAAAATGTTATAACGTAATTTTTAGACTTTTTAAATAATGTTTTTGTAGTTTTGGTATACCTAACCGACTCTTACAAGACCTCATTCAGTACATAGTTTCCCAATGCACATCCAGGCAGATTATGTTAATAGGCATGCCTGCTAAAACCTAACTAACTGAGACTTATTAAAGTCATATAAAACTCATTAAACTCATTAAAAAAAAACTCATTAAAACTCATTTATTTCTGTAAATAGGCTTAAAAAAAGCACTTTTACACGTCCAGTATTAACCCTACCACTGCTTCAGGACAATAAATGGGCCAGTGCTGAGAAGAAGCAGCGCAAGAAACTCAGTCACTATTGTCAGCCTCTTTTTCAAAGGTTTACATGCTTTAAAATGTACAAAGTTATAAATATTTATGCGAGCTAGGCAGTAACGTATCCCAAACATTTTTATCTTTTAAATAATCATCGACTTTATAGTAGCCCTTTTTCATTAAGGTACTTTTAATATGTGTTTTGAATTTATGAATGGGTAGTTCTACAACAGTTTGTGGTAATTTATTAAATAATTTAATACATTTTCCCATNCAAAAGCAGCCGAACTGAGCCTTTTTGACAAAGTTTCAATATGAGGACCCCATTGAAGTTTAGCATCTAAAGTGATTCCCAGGAATGTTGTGGAATTTATGCTATTTAATGGTTCATTCTTCACCATTAATTGCGTGGAAACCTGCCTCACATTAGGTAAGGTAAATTTAATGCACTTAGTTTTGTTTGCATTTAACAATAAGTTGTTAACAGTGAACCAATGTAGAACCTGTGAGAGTGTGTTATTAATATCGTCAAAATTTACTTTACCTCTATCAACTTTGAAAATGAGAGATGTGTCATCAGCAAATAACACAATATCACACAGATCTTTTACAAAGTAAGGAAGGAACTTCCTTACAATTAACTTCGACTAACGATTCAATAAACTATCCTATTGGCCCACTTGCCCAACTGACCGGCCGGGCTAGGACGTGCGTCGTGATAAAATCTTATCGATTATTTTAGACGACAAATGGCGCGATTCAAACGGCGCACTTGCCCAACTGACCGGCTACCAAACCATTTCTTCCGCGTCAGCGTGACAAAACAATTCGATGTTCACGCCTACTTGCGCTTACGCATTTCTCTCGACCTGTTTTCTAACGATATTTCGACAAATAGCCACATAACTTATGTCATAGTTGGTTTGTACTTGTCATTTTTGACAATACTGTAGGATTACATGACCACAACGCTTAGGTATGTACTGTGATTGATTTATATATTGAAATTCAACCAATCGAAAGACTTTTATTTGTTCTGTAATAGGCACTTTAATTTTTAAAAGAGTAAGCTTATTCTTATCTTAGTGCTTGTTAGACAAAAATTTACAGATTTTACATCTTAATTACAGTAATAAAAACAATCGACTATATGTTATGTTAATTTTAACATTGATGAAGATGCAAATTATTTAGAAATGGACGAGAAAGCATCCGCCATAATGAACGTGTATGAATCGCACGAACATGCTTTCTTTATCAATAAATTCATCTTAGATCCTTTACGCAAGAATTCTACATTATACATATTATTAGTGTTTCTGTCCCATACAATCACGTATACAATGTAGCAAATGTGAAATTACAGAATACTGTAATAAAAAATAACTATGGGAAGCATTTTATTCAATTTTCTGTTGGCTACATAATGTGACATGTACAGAGTCTCCTTAAAAAATTTTTTGTACATTTATTTGGATTGGAGTTAATATTTCAAATTACATTGAGAGAGATTTTTCTTCTTCTTTGCTATACTCTTGTCAGAGTGGTCGTGGTAGTCACACCTGGTTTGATGACAAGCTTCACAATCCGTCGAGATAGATGCCTTTTATCTACGTATCCCAAATTCCACGGCTGCCTTTACAAATATTTTTCTATAAGTAAAGGTGATGCTGTTATCTTATACAAGCCTATATTTTCCGTAATAGAGCTTCAAATAGTACGACTCTACGTAATTCATGTCATATTAATATTATATTTAACAAGTTATGGCGATAACATAAATAAGTAAATTGGTTATATTATTATCGGTTCTAGCTTCTAACGACAATGTCTCCCACGAGCACACACGATACCATCGGATTGATAGCGCGGTCATTGTTCGTATGACGGTTTCACATGCGGCTCTTACTTTCCTAGCTGACTGGCAGTTTACGTCGTTAACTCAACTTTATAATGCTTGCAAAACTGAAAGTCTTAAATGCATTTGTTTGACAATAGCAAATAACTCTTTACCAGAATAACTTTCGTTTAAAGTCGTGCGTTTAAAATTAAACACCCTGTATTGCATGATGAAGGAACGAAGAAACTATGCCTATTTTAAATTGAATGAGATATCGTGAAACGTAGAACTTATTAAGTGAAATTCATAGTAAGCTTGTTAAGAAGTCTGTATTTGCCCATGGCATGGCAAATTGTGCTCGTACCACCAACCACGCGTATAATGATTATGGGAAAGTCATTCTACTCGTTATGTAGAATCGCACGCATGATCTGATATTATAGAACGTCTAATAATACGCGTCTGATATTATATCTTAATAGTTACTTTCTGTAGTTATTTCTATTCACATGCGCTGGTAGGGCCCAAAAGATAAGGAGACATGTAAAGTGCCCCATAAGGGCTACCTTTTCTTTTTTTATTATTTTCTATTGACGTTCATAAGTGCCACTTGTGGTCTAAACTGAATAAATATTTTTGATTTTGATTCATTATTATTTATTTATTTTACACGAGTAAATAATGATGGATATAAAAAGCCGCCGGTCGGTTTGCATATAAAATATACGTACATTACGTATTTTTCTTGTATTTACTGAATGTTCACCTATTTTTAAGAAAATTTTAGTTCTTACCTGTGTAAAGATGACCCACGCTGAACTGTCCCACCAAACTCAATGACAGGGGGGCGCTACCATCGTTCAACTATATGGTTTCCAACATGGCAAAAATCGAAACCAGCGATCCGGTATTGACGGTGGCGCCCCACTGTCAATGTCATGCATAGGACAGTTCACTATTTTGGAACTATATGTAAAAATTGTCACCTGTCATCCGCTTTGCAATGGAGGGAAGTCGAACCTTAATTTTTCGAACTCCTCCTATGTTCTTCTGATTAATTTCGTTGCGGGTCCAATGACAGTTTAACTTTCCCTCGGGACAAACTTGACCTTCATTGGTTGGGTTTTTGTGGCGGTCAAGCTGTAGATCCTGGCTACACAGGAGTTGCAGTGGTGTGAACGAGAGGTGGGAATAGTCCCGTTTGTGTATGTAAAAATTCTGTGAATTTCAAAATTGAGTAGGTATTGATCTATCGTTGTTGCGTGACGCATACAATTTAAAAACTGATAGGCTTACTCAAAATCCAAATTATTTTGTTCGCTTTCAACAAAGCATGAGTTATGCAAGTCTAGGTAGGCTACGTAATACCCACAGCCTACTCGTATATTGGGCTAAGTGTTAAATGATTTTCAAAACACTTCCTTGTCACTTTGTCATTCATTGGGATCAACTAACCGCATCTGGGAGGGCCAAATTACGCTTTTTAACAAGTATTATCTTTTGAAGTCTGTATTGTGGTTGCCATTAAATACAATTTAACCGACTACCGCGTACTGCGTAACGTTATAATTTTTCTTTTTACTAAAAACCGCTTCCTTGAACATCCAATTATAGTTGAATTGCAAAGTAATTGAATAAGACTTTTTGGCTACATTGTTTCTTGAATTTCATAAAATACTTGCTGGTGTTTATAATCGCTATCAAATTAAGATCGTGATCGCTTCGCTCGATCATAGATACGTTTCCAAGCTATGGACAATAACAGCCTTATTTAATCGAAAATTATAACATATGCAGAGTCAAAGTAGTCTCTACTTTGATTTGTGTAATTGCTGCTGTGCTTCAAGAAGGGAAAAAGGTAGAAGAATATTTTACTATTTCTCTTAGGTAATTAATTAATTAACCATTGCAGCACTAGAAATGCAATGAATATGGTTTGCCGACGTAATGACAGTTTTAGAATTAGAAACAGCCGATAGTGCTTATAAACAAGGGATAGCAAACATTTGCTATTGTGAAAGTAAGCATCCATCCGGCAGACGCTCCTTTCAATAATGCAAGGAAGTTTCAACTGGTTTCCAATATTTTTATACCCTATCTTATTTTACGACGCTATTTATCACATACCATTTAACGGTAAAACCTAATAAAATGTGTTATTGCTTTCGAAAGTAGAAGTTTTAATAAGTACTTGCTTAAAATTCGCTGGACAGTTTATAGATACTTACGTAATAAACAAGTAATAATATATGTATATGAATAAAAGTGATTTAGAAGCAGTCAAGTTCGATTAAAATTTATTAGTCCATTTTGGTTCATAGTAGTCATGTCACTAGGACGCATAGTTTCCGAGGATTAAGCGAAAAACCGAAAAGTGGTACCTTTAAACCCCCCTCTCCCCGCCGGCTCAAGGGCTAAGGGCGGGGACTTTTGCTATGTTCACCACCTAACTAGGCTAAATAAAGTCCCGAGGTCAGAAATTGTGTTCCACGGATTTCTCTCTACACCGTCGTTAAGGCATTCATTGACTGGACTATATAACCGACTTGATTTATTTGAACCAGTTTTTGTCCGTACTTATTTATATCTCGATAATTTTATCAAATGATAATAATCTATCGATAAAAATACTCGTTTTAACACATTCTACCTAATTTAAAACTAAATTAGGTATAAACTAGAACTTATATTTTTTGCTATACCAACTTTCTTTAAGCCACAAATTTTAAAATATTTCCAGAAGGTGTTGTTAATTTCAGGGTTGTCGCAAAAACAATGGGAAGTGCTAACTTTATAAATATTATACTTATACAATTATACGAAAGTAAAAGTCCATTAGGCAGGCGTATTGTCTATTGTCTAATGCGTAATCTCGTATCGCTTTATTGCATAAATCACTCTGGGAACTTAGTTTCTGTTTAGCATAATCATGCAGTTCCGGAACAAACGCTGTAAATTACACAATGGTTAATTAATTAATTAAGAACAGTGCATATTTTCATTACAATAAAATCATTGTATTGGAATTCCATATTCCATTCCATTCCATTCCATTTTCAAATGGAAAACAGCATAAGAAAAGTCTAATGCCATCATTACTGAAAGAATGACTTTAAAGATTAATAGGATGTGATTTTGAAAGGGCTCATTTCTGTTTGTCTGAAAAGCTGAAAATGTTAGTCAATTTACCTTATTTACTATTAAGTTACGTTATTATAAAAAGAAAAAGAAAGAAAAGAGAGCCGGCTAACTCTTTCAAGTATCGTTTAATCAAACTACAAGAATGTTTCTTCACAAGGATTTTTAGAAACATATTTATTCGATATAACATAACACGACCAAAACGATTAACGTTATTTATTGTGTTGTTTCCATTTTCTACGTTTGTATATGACGCGCTATATTTGCTCTATTTATTGCCTTCGCAGAGCGAATTGACAGATCTTTTCATATCGGAGAAAATCAAGAGCAGTAAACAAGAACAATGGCGATAAATTTGCCTGCCTCGATGTTAATAGATAGGAAACTGTTCTTTTTACACTCGCACAGTCACGCATCATGATTCTGGCACTAGGTAATAAATACACGAGAAGTGTGGACACCAGTTATGTGTATATTCCGCTTACAATCCATGTATTGCGTGCTTAGGAACTAGTTGTCATATTTGCTTCCAAAAAACCTTCCGGTAGCAAGTCAATGCAGTGTACACACAAAAAGTGAATGACTTCTTGGTATTAATTATGAGATACGTTTAGGTAATGATACGCAAGGAAGTTTGTATTGGACTAGTTGCAAATTCGTTCACTTAGAAAATGCTTTTCAATTGATTCTTAGACCTCATTGATTAGCAGACCTCTTACATCGACTAGGGCTGTGTCCTATAGGATGTAGGGGGGTTAAGCTACATAACATTTATTAGCAAAAATACATAATAAGTAATATTCTTAAAAATTATTTTTTTGGAATCTATTGACCCTACATAAAACAAAGACACTATATTCGTTTTCTAGTATTTTTTATCCACAACGAGGAAGCTCACTTATACAAAATCACACTTTCTAGAGTTCTAATGCTACTATTAATTAGTTAATTAATTAATGTTGATTGATATAATTGCTTTACTAAATGACAACTGGCCTAACTTACAATCTAAAGTAAAACTAATTTCGCACATCCGTATCATCTCATTTACATTAATAAATTACCATATTCCGTATAGATTGAATTAAAATGGTGATACACTTTCCAAACACAGGAAGGATAAGTGTTTACACGGTCGTTAACCGCCATGTTAAAAGTACTTTCTTTCCTCGAAACGCTATCAAAATATTTTATTAAAAAGTTTAAAATCCATAAAAAATCAATTCAATAAATTGGTTGTTAGTAAAGAAAACTTTAATTTTTCTATTCTGTTAAAATGTATTCGTCGATATTTCTTAAGTTTTGATATCGATACTTAGATGTATTGTTACAAACAAAATTGTTAAATGATGGTTTCCTTGGCACTGCGAACCATATTGTTCCTTGTAGCGTATTAAATACAGTTGAATTTCACTTGTTTTCAGATGGGCAGTGTCAACCGTGATGACGAGGCAGAACAACATCCAGCTGGGAGACAATGACGTCACCGCTTTCATCCCGCTGTGGGATATGTGCAACCACGAGCATGGAAAGGTATGCATTATTGACCATTTCTCGTATTTACGAACTAGCTTTTGTTTACGAGATTTTCAGTCTGCCACAGGGTCTAGTCACGCATGTTGCAATAACATACAATAACATTAGCCATAACTATAATTGTTTCATAACTATACATATATTTTCATCCCTTCGAAGATTGTTGCGAAAAAAATAGCTTATACTCCTGGGCTCAGTTAAACTAACTTACTTTAACAGTAACTTTAAAAATAAACGGTTTTTTTGTATGGAGTTTGGCAGATTTTTGACGTTTGTTAAAGTTAAAGTAAGATGGTGCAACTCAGCCTTAATTTAATATCTACCTATTTACCTTTTCTTTCTTTTATTATTCCTTAATAATAAAATATTCCAATATTATTTCAGATCACAACAGATTTCAACAAGGATAAGAACAGAGGCGAGTGCTACGCGCTACGCGACTTTAAGCCTGGAGAACAAATCTTCATCTTCTACGGGGCTCGATCCAACGCAGATTTATTTCTACACAATGGGTAAATTAGCATGCAACTAATTACTTTTTAGGACCACTTTCCGACCACGAACACTCAGTTTCAACATAATTATTACAACTAAATTAGACGTAATCTTATTCCGCACGATATAATTCTGATTTATAGTGTACCTATTTTAAATGCCTTCAATACCTAACTAAAATTGGTACTTGTTTCGTCTTCTGGACAACAGATCCAAGCTAGAGTAAGTCATATACATTTATGAAAATGAGACTTAACTTGAGAAATGTATGGATTTTGATTGATTGAAAAATCTCTATTTGTACAGTCCGTGTCAATTTTCTCTATAAATAAAGTCGAAACCATTTGACTTGGACCTTATGAATTTTGTGATAAGAGCGAACTTTTCGTTTATTGTACTAATGACACAGTTGAGAATATCTAGTTCTAACGCCATGCAAGCTATCTTATGACTCTTCAGTAAACTCATTTACCTATGATCCAATCCGCAAAACATTTCCACTGCTTTCACCATTACGAGCTGGCTGATCAAACCCTCGCATATTATTGTCGGCAGTCATAACACCCGTGATGCAACGCATTATCCGTTATGTCATCCGGCGCGCGACGCATCACAACAATACGGCTGGCATCATAACATCTAAACATGAATGCGTGCTGATTCGTACACACAGGAGCTATTTGGATTAGAATTTAATTTGAGTTTGTTATGCTCTATGTTGAATCGATCATTGTGATAACGTGCATTTGCACCAGCTCTACCAAAACGCCTCGACTCTGTGTCCTTAATTAGACATTTGGAAATTAAGACTTAACCCTATTACACCCTCCAGCTAAACTAAGTGTAAGCTTGGATGAGGACCAGCTCTCGAATCGGCACTACCTACTACACCGAAACCGTTAGGCTATTTTTATCTTTAAAGTTCTAGTTTTAGAGTCCGCATGGTATTGTTTGATAAGCTGTTATTTAGAATCAATCAAAAATACATACATTTTAAATGAGAGTTGAATAAGAGCACTCAATTGTTCCGAACGAATTCCAAATTAACAAAAAATAGTAAGTACCTCGACATAAAAACGTGTTCCTGCTATTTCTAGATTCGTGTACCCAAACAACCAGCACGACAGTCTCTCTCTAAGCCTGGGCATCAGCGCCGGCGACCCGCTGCGCGAAAGCAAGCAGTCTCTTCTCACCAAGCTTGGTCTGGCAGGCATCACGCACTACAACCTGTATCTAGGAGACAACCCTGTGAGCGCAGAGCTACTGGCTTTTATAAGGATCTTCAATATGAACCAAGGTGTGTTAACAGCAGATTAGCTTAAGACTCGCAGTGTGAAAGCAAGCAGTCTCTTCTCACCAAGCTAGGACTAGCAGGCATCACGCACTACAACCTGTACCTAGGGGACAGCCCTGTGAGCGCCGAGCTACTGGCCTTTATAAGGATCTTCAATATGAACCAAGGTGTGTTAACAGGAGATTAGCTTAAGACTCGCAGTGTGAAAGCAAGCAGTCTCTTCTCACGAAGCTAGGACTAGCTGGCATCACGCACTACAGCCTATATCTAGGAGACAGCCCTGTGAGCGCCGAACTGTTAGCCTTTATAAGGATCTTCAACATGAACCAAGGTGAGCTACGAGTAGATTAGCTAGAGACTTACTGAGTGAGAGAAAGCAGTCTCTTCTCACCAAGCTAGGCCTGGCAGGCATCACGCACTACAACCTGTACCTAGGGGACAGCCCTTTGAGCGCCGAGCTGCTGGCTTTTATAAGGATCTTCAATATGAATCAAGGTGAGTTGAGGACAGTCTACAGATTAGCTAGAGACAAGAGAAGCAGTCTCTCCTTACCAAGCTAGGCCTGTCAGGGTGGCAGGCATCACGCAGTACAACCTGTACCTAGGAGAGAGCCCTGTGAGCGCAGAGCTGCTTTCTTTTATAAGGATCTTCAAAATGAATCAAGGTGAGTTGCATTTAGGATAGGCCAGAATGGGATTTATCTTAAAAAGGTAAGGCTATAGTATGACTATGGTAAAGGCTTTAGTTCCATTACCCCTTTTAATCTGCAGTAGTTGAATAATTTTGAATATAAATTTTGTCCCGGACTTGACGGAACTCCAGTAAATAATAGACTAGGTAATTTACTGAAGTTTCCGGGCAGAAAAACATGGTAATAAAATTTAAAATTTAATGCAATGCAATTTTATAAAATGACTAAGTTTTAGACTGCTTTGAAATAGATCCTTTTCTTAGTTAGTCGACGAAATGTAAACCAATTTCACTCGATTGTCTAAAACAAGAAGTACTTGTTTACTTCCAACACTTTCAAGGGTCACCACAACAATGCATAACCCGTTGGGTTAAGCCGCTTCCATCGTTCCGTAACAGTAAACCCTCGCCAAACAAAAGTATCGCATAACGATTAGATATGCACGGAACTGAACCGAATCAAAGATTGCTTTTTCTTGCTATTAATGAAATGCGGATTCCGAGTAATGTTTTCTTTTTTTGCTTTTTACTTCTACAATAATAGATGTTACTTAATAGACGAAATTCGTAAACCGGTCGACCAATCTTTTTTATTATTTTGGGTTAGTAGTTTTTGTTTGCCAATATTTATGAAAGTTATAACTTATAACGATATGACGTCATTCGGTTTTAAAGTAAACAGACCGAATTAGTAACTATACTGGTCATCACAAAAATCGGCCCACCTACGTTTTACAGGAAAACTCGTTTCTACTGACACAATCATGGTGCCCCAACAATATTGGTGTTATTTGAAAGCCCAATAAATATCCTTAAAGAAAAACACATTTAATTTCTTAATAAACGATTAACATAAACGTGATATACAATAAATGTGACTTGAAAAAAGACCTCACTTTGGGCTCATCTCTGGGATCAATTAGACCAATTTTTATGGTTATAAAACCAAATAATGATCTCACGTGTCCTCTTTAACAGATGGATAGCGATTAATCCCAACTTAACAGTTTTATAGCCATAAAAGTTGGCTCAAGCGTAACTACCTATTTTTTGAAGAAGTGACTGGATTCTTCTACAGACACATTTTTGGGGTAAAAACCTTTCCTTTAATGAAATGAAGTTTAGAACTCGGCTTTTAAATGGTGCCAATATTGGTGGGAAATGGGGATGCATACGTTTGAAAGTGCTTGCCGCGGGAGGGTCGATTTTTGTGATGACCAGTGTATTTTATAACTTCTTTTAATGTAGGTACGAGTATCCTTACGTTACTTTGGAGTTTATTGCAATTGGTATCGTCAGTAATATTGTAACTTTCCTTGCGTAAACATAAAGTTCTGTGGATGAGGCAACTAAGAGACAAATATGCGAACATCAAGCTTCTCCAACCCGTCTGGTTAGCGTGGGGTGTGTAACCCAATCGTGTGGATTCCATACACATGCTCTATCTAGTTTACTTCTTACCAGCGTTGAGAAAAGTAGTTTTATAACATGTGGGTTGCGGAACATACATTTCGTCTTTTTTATCGTTATTTCTACATAAATAAATCTTTGTCATTCTAGAGGAACTCACCAAATGGTCGAGCCAAGGTCTGCCGGGTGACCTAGTATCTTCTGACGCCGCAAGCGCCGAAACAGTGGGCGCGGCCATAGACAAGCGCGCATATACGTACCTGCTGACTCGCTGTGGGCTGATAAAAGCTTCGTACAAGCGAGACAGCGACGAAGTTGGACCTGAATCTATACACAGGTATGTTATTGACAGATTATGTAGTCTAGTGATAAAACTACCTATCTCCTATCTTAGACACAAAGGTTTCAGGTTCGATACCCAGCAGGGGTAATTTGTTTACTTGTTTTAGTTAGTGGTAGGGCTTGTTATGACTCCGCCCGTCTATCTCCTTATCTTCCAAGAATAATAATTGAATGAAATAAAAAAAATATATATGCATATAACAGGACAACAGTACGACGGTGTTTTTAAGCCCTACCAGATTGATGTTACCTAATACAGTAATTTAACCTAATTATCAAAATTTAATTCCACTCTATCATTGATAAAAAAAGTACGTCTTCGAAGCGCCATCTATCGCCAGCTAAGAATCTTAATGAAATAAATTGGTGCAAAGTTGCACGGTAACGCCATCTACATTTTTGTACCTGACGTAGAAAGTAGTAGAAATGAAAAGCAAACCGCGCAACCATTTTGTAAAGATTTTGTATTTATAGAACTGTGTTACATAAAAGAAAACTTTATTGTGTTTTGTTCGCAGGAAAAATATACAACTATTGAAAGAATGTGAAGTACAAATATTAGACGGTGCCATAAAATATTTGGAAAGTGCTATACAAAAGCTTCCCACCGCAGAGTCACAATAAATGTGATTTAGATTTTTAATTATTTTATGAACAAAGTATGAAATCATGACAGTATTTATTTTTTTATGATGATCTTATGATTTTAAATAATTGAATTATTTATTTTAATACAACGAATGTCGTATACAGATTTATCTAGTTGTTACCGAATTTGCTTTTTTTGTAAGTTTGTTTTTGTTAGTAAGTTGTGTGCAATTTTTAATATAAAGTTGTTTTTCATAAAATCATTAGTTTTATTACGTACACAAAAACACCAGATCATTATTCATACCAAATTTATTTTTTCACATGACAAATTATTTTACAACTCCATGTGGTGATAGTCTGGCATATAAAAATAGTACAAAATTGGCTAATTATAAAGTACTTAACTACGTTTAAAATAGTATCTAGCAAATAACACTAAACTTAAATAATATTTACAGATTTGAACTTTCAACTGAAAAATTTATCAAAGTACTTCGTAAAATTAGGTTTTAAGTATAGAAATTAATTCCAAACCAAAAACCTCTTAAATTAATTGTTGATATTATTAATTGGTCTATTTCACTAAATTAATCGTTGTCATAAATAAATTAAACTTAAAATTACACTTACTTTAAACTGATTTTATCACAATCTTGGGAAGTAACTTGTAATGAGTAAATGTTTGACAAAAAGGAGGAGACGTATTTTTATAAAATACGAGTCCTCTCAATTTGTCTTCCATGTTTTTAATCATTTCCACGTTTCTTAACTAAAGATACCTTTAAAGTAATAAACCTTGAATCTTACTAGTTATTGAGATATCATTTTAGACATCTTGAAACCGGGCCCGAACAATCGTTCCATTATATTTCTAAGATAATTCACTTATTTATCTATAAATTAATGTCAATACTAAGTATATCTTTTGTATGAATTAGATGATTAAAATCTAAGATTTCAATGCTTCTCAACAGAGTATTAAATCCATAATCTCAAAACAAAAATCACCGCAGTCACCCACTGGGAGTACCATACACTCACAGCTAAATTATTATAACCAAATCAATTTTCCAGTCAGAGCCAGAAAATTTAATGCATACTAAAGTTAAGCTGTGAAACTCAAACTAACCACAATGTAAGGTTTAGACTGATTCTAAGGTGTAGAAAATGATTTTGTTTAAAACACCTTAGCTTGTTCGGTTAAACTTAGCTGATTTATACACTGACGGATTTACAACACTACAAAATTATGTAATTGTAAAGGCATAACAACCCTGGTAGCTGTTGGAAAATCCATATAGGTACGAGTAAACTATTTTCAAGTTTAATAACCAGTATTAACCTTAGCAATAAACGGTGAGTGCCCTAAAAGGGCCCAAGAGAATTAGGTTTTGAAAACTACGATTTGAGGCTTTTGCATCACGCGGTGCAGTTTATAAGTCAGTCTCAAAAACCAACTTTTTCATCTTATTTGATCCGTCCCTTATGCGGCACGTACGCGTGGTGTGGCGTAGCGTTGCTCCCGCGCCGCCAACCGCGTGCTGCGACCAATAGCGCGCCGCACAAAGCCGCTACTAGCGCGCCGCATGACGCTACTAGCGCCGATAGCGCTGAGGTCTTCATGCACGTTTGACCTTCGGCTACTGCTGGAAAATGAAAAGAAAGAGCTTTAGAATTGACTGCAGGTGACAATCAAATGATTCAATGATACACTTAGCCTTTGATTAGGCTAAATCTACACAGGCGTAACTACTCGGCGACACGAACTCCGTATCATCTATCGCTCAAACTTGACAAAAAAGAGAGTAAGAAATATGCAGAGAACATGGGAATCTCTTCGCCTTCGTTGAATGTACCACAAATCAGTGACGATGCGCAAAGGATTGCTGCTAGCGGTTCGCCAATAGATGCAGATGCGTCAGTCATACTGAACCTCAGTTGTTTCGATACGGGCTATCTATAGTAAGGTAAGAAAGAAACTCTTACAGCGACTGGAAGAGCAATATTCTCGGACAGGCGCTACACCATAATTTCGGTACTTATCTGTCCTGTGCTAACAAAGTAAGAAAGAATCTAATAATACCTGTGCTAGCAGCAAGCTCGGAATCCTCCTCGCCTTCTTGCACCCATCGCAGCGTCTAAAAACGCTGAGAGATGATCCTCAACGCCGCTACGACTTCGGTACCTGTCCTGTGCTAGCTAGCACAAAAAAAGAATCTAATAATACCTGTGCTAGCAGCGAGCTCCGAATCCTCCTCGCCTTCTTGCAGCACTCTTAGCGACTGGAACAGCGATATATTTTCCGACAAGCGCGGCGCCACGCTCGCAGACTCCGATTCCACAGACCGCCGGCGGACGCTCTTCATGTTCCGCCAGTGGCAGGGCTGGGACTGAAATGTCAGAGAGTAAACTGGTTAATATACCTACATTTTTTCAAAGTTCAAAATGCTTCAATGAAAGTATATCAAAGTATGTGATAACCAACACCTCCAGAACGTTCGCTCTTATGAATTAACACTTTTCATTGCTTTTATCTCAACTCAAGGGTTTAAGGTTCTTGATAACTTAACTTTTGGGACCACAAACGCTCATTTTCAAACATTTCATGTGTGACAATAAAAGCGATGAAAATCCATAAAAGTTAGGAAACTAAAGTTCTCGTTGCGAATTTAAGATATTTAAAAAATAGGAACTGTTTTTCTAGAGGTCACTTCACATGGACATGGTATGCAAACAACAAAATCTTACGCCACCGACGAACAAAAAAAAACTGAAAAAATATCTCGGAATTTAAATTGAAATCTGCAGTTTTAGAGCTATTTTTAGCATCGATTGCAGATGATCCCGTAACACAAACGTTTTGACGTTATGCGTACTTATGCGTCTCTAATCTTCTTACTCCCTGCTGAGCTAGCCCCAGCACGTCAACTATGTAAATAGATGGCCAGACCGTGAAGTAGAAAGTTTGTATAATTTTGTTTACATAAAGGTGTAAATAAATCGCCACTGAAAATGTATGCCTTACTGGAATTTTCCACAATACCTACCAATCTCTAATTGACTGCTTTATGAAGAGTAGAGATGTTTGGAATATATTATTTAATATTTACCAATGAAAGGAAAAACCGTAGAAAGATGAAGATTTTTGATATTCAGTAACATTCAATTACACCGGAAGAACTAAAATATAATTACGCTCGTCATTTGCCAGAAAATGCTTCCAAATGGATATTTTCTTGTAAAACTTACAGGACACCTCCCATGGCACATTCTGACGTCACACTCGATGTACAGAGCCGGTGAGCCCGTAAATCGGAACGTTTTCATGTAGGCATACACTTGCGTCTCGAACACGCCCGACTCGGACCACGAACCTCGGAATCGGGATATCAACTTGTCGTCCACTGGACATCTGGGGAATAAAGATTGAACAACTGTGACTGAAAGACTGGCAACTGAAGACGGAAAAGTTTAGGATTTTGTATTGATTGAAAAAGGTGTCAAAACAAAATAAAAACGTTCAATTTAGAATTTAGTACCTATTCAAAAGGAAGAAGACAATAAAAGTAATTAAATTACGTAGGTAGGATTCGTACTGTACCGGAACGAATGTCCTAAAGGTTAGCATTCATGTAACATTTTATTGTTTAATGGCTGTCAATTAATTCTTATAATTCCTTACGTACCCGTACTCGTCAATGAGTTGTATCCGCTTGGTTGCACCGTTATGGGCGAAGCAGTCGTTCACCACAATATCGAATCCGTCTGAAACCAAATCGATACTTTGCATTCCTACTCGTTATCGAGTAAAAGTTTTGACACAGTTCACGATTGATGTAAACTGTGGATCGGATCGAGCGATGAACCTGGTGTTTGGGAGGGCCATTGCAGTATGGCACGCGATAGCGGTTACGGCACCGTTACAGATTTCGCCCTTGATGGTTGCGGTATAAAATGTAAGTTCAAAAACAATCGCCGTAAAATGGCAGCGATCATTAACGACAATTGACCGTGAACTTGATGTCGTATATTTTAAGGCCTTTATTTAACACTTATCGCCGTACCATAAAAATTTAACTCTATGACGTAATAGGATATCTAACGCGAACTAAATTCATGAAACCAAGACAATGAATAAGCGTTTTCTGGGCTTACTTGCTTCAGCATAAATCGCACTTGCTGCACCCTTCAGATAAGATGGCGATCAATAATGGTTCCTAATGGCAGAGTAGAATAGGATTTCTCCCAAACTTCCCGTGGATGTCGAATTATGCAAACATTAGGCCTCCCCAACCCGTCACAAGCGTGAAAAGTGTAGGCCAAATCCTCTGTTTGCCTCCGGTAAATTAGAAGGATCATCATCCTGCATGATGACGACGAGGGTGACACTAAGCAGGTCCAGCTTGTCCAAATGTAGCTGACTCTAATTATTCCTTAATCCGGCGGTGTTCAATGGTGTAGGTACTTACCATAAGCACTCCTCATGTAGATGAGCAACGTGAGCGGATCTCCCACCCTGACCGGGCCGGAGACTCGCGCGCCGCCGGCCCCGTAGCCTGATCTGATCTCCATATAGCATTCAGGTGGTTGGAGTGTGAATACTACCGGGTTGCCCGTCGCTACCCTGGAATTACATAAATCAAAGGATATTGTTCAATATTTAGTTGGTAAATAGGTACTAATTTTGTTAACATGTGTCTGCAATGATTCTGTGTTTGTGAGACCGAATCGTAGGACAACCAAAAAGCCTTTCAAGGAAGAGCAGTACATATTTATTTCTTGTAAGCTCGTTTTATCGTAGATCACTGAATTATATTCAATGCCTGCTTCTCAGCACTGCTAAATTATTTGTTGTAATGAAGTGCACATAGAGTCCAAACTGATGAACTACCTTCCTTCAGAGCAACCATTTTTTTTTTCATCATCATTGAGATTGTTGGCCCATCGAAGTGGGTATCCTACGCTACGTTAACCAAAAGAGAGAAATATCGATTTACCATTCCTAAATAAACCAAAAATTAAGACTAATGCCCGTTTTCACCATCAATCTCTAATTTTTAAGTGACCCCTATCAACACATAATAGGAATAATCAAGTATGTTCAAAATAACACTTCGAAATTAGGGATTGATGGTGAAAACGGGCATAAGTATTCTTCTTTTTTTTAATCTTCTTTTTACAGCTGCATCCTTGAATGATGTAATCAAAAGGAAGCTTATAATCCAAGGTAATTGAATATCATAAAAGAACTTACTCAACATCCAGGAAGGGAAAGGTCACGGTCTTCCAGAAGTCGTACCCGTACTCGCAGGTGACCTTGAAGTGCTCGTCCAGCTCCTCCTCGATGAGTGGATTGTACTGCACTGTGATGGTGTTCCACATCAGGTTCTTCTGTGGACGATGGCGTACATTACATAAGGTAAGTCGGAACTTGATTATTTGTTAATGAAATTAGAATTTATTCTCCAGCATGATTTTTTACAAGGTCTGGCCCGATGACTATGTGAACTATGTCCATGTTACCGAAAGTTTGCAACTAAACAAAAGCTTGTACCGATGAGAACAAAAATAGGAATAAAGACGAATGTAGAGAAAGATTTCAGTAAGTAATGCAAACATAAATTTACCTAATATTATTTCGTACCAAATGCGATACCTAAGGCGGTACCTGTCATTGTTATTTTTTCACAAAATATCAATTCATAAACTGCTATAAACGTTAATCACCAAATATTTTTATTCGCCTTTTGCATAATAGTCGAAAATACAATTACGAACATTTTGAGAAACAAATCTACCAGTAAATGAGCATGAAGTACCTATATTAATCCATGTTGCAATGATCCACCTGCTCCATTGCTTACAAGAGTTGCCCTTTACCCCAAACAAGGCAGTGATTGACCCCAAGTAAGTAGTGAATGCGCTGATACGCCTTATCGAATTGACTCCACCTGCCACTATTTCGATCAGGGTCGTTAACCCGGCCACGGGGAAATAATATTGATGATTTATGTGTGTGTTTACAATAAGGAAAACTGTCTTAGCTATATCACAATTATTATGTTTCAACATTTTACAGGATATGCATTTAATAGCAATCGATAAACTCATCACTTTTTGCTGAAATGAGATCTTTTCTGTGACAACTGGGGATTTTAAATTATTTTTCCATTTTACTTCGACTTCCTGAAAATATGATTTTGCATGACAAAAACCCATTATTTGGAAAAAGAAGCGGTCCATCGTAGATAGCTTCTGCATCGTTATGTTTTTAGACCATACCCAATAATCATACTCGTATAAAGGTTGACAATAATAAAAAATACTTGCCGTAGGATGTTTCCTATTGTCGTCGTGCTGGCTGTTCCGGCCCAGGGTCCCGCAGCGATTGAGCTGGATGTAGAACTCGTAGTAGTCGCGGCCAGTTCCATTGATGTACATGCAGTCCGGATCATATGAGTATCCTTTTGAGAATTAATAAATAAAGGTTACTTAATGCGTTAATGTCTTCCATAGGAGAGCCTCCTTTTGCCCCACGCTGCGACTTTTGTCTAGCCCTGATCTACAACTTGACCCCATCAAAAACTCAACCAAAGAACTATTTTGCAGTTTACAGTAAGGTCTACCACTAAGCTTAAAGTCTTTACGTCTTGTCTATTCGTCTAGCTAGTCTATTTCAAATTGTTGTGTATTTTTTAACATTTTGTAGAAAGATACAAAGCATCAATTCGCAAAAAATATAAAAACAACTTGTATAAGTTTGTTAATGTGTGTAGTTAGCATATAAATCAATCTAATTGCTACAAGATATTATCATAATGATATAAAGTGGCATCATCATCTCTAACAGTCTTACAAAATGCATGTTAATTTCTTTCAATAAGAGCTTGTGGGTATTATCAAATTCTAAATCTGATGTGAATCCGGAAGAATGCCTCAACACTATCTGCAAGACATAGGTACATACAAGTTCTATAAAAACCAAGTGCAGATGCCGCTCCAAAGATTGCACTTCGCACCATAACTTAAAACTGTTCCCGAGATTAATGAGTGTGATGACACGAGACGTTAGGTGTTCCGATCGCGTTAATCACCCTTTTAAGTTCCAAGATATGAAGAGTCAGTTACTTGAGATTGCATCAGTTTTGTTCCCGACGCCTTTTGTGCGCGGTATCGGAGAGTACATCGTGGCGCCTACGGGTGCGTATTGTTACTGTACGCGGCTCAGATACGAGTACAACAATGTAATGACACCCTACCCAGTTAACCGCCATAGCTAATTGTTTTATCTGCGTAGCACAGTAGTCGCTTCGTGATTTGTAACAATTGTTACCTTTGATTAAATGTTCCTACTGATTTGAGGTACCGATGACGACGCAATTAAATTCTGTTAAAGCTTAACACTGTGACATCTTATGTAGAGTTGCAATAATCGTATCTAACCGTTTATTTACGAGTAATAGGGACGTACCTGCAGAATACACCAATCCAGCAAAAGAACCGTTGAATCCAACCCTGATCTTCATAAAGTCATCCTGGCACTCAGCTTCAATATCTGAAAAGACATTATCCATTATTCATAAGTACATTCCATTGGATCTAAATACGATAGCGAATCTTTACATTGGTTATTCGATACTCTGCCAAAGTAAATACCTAAACTTTCATTATAAAAACAAGTATGTACGTACTCCTTATTAACTTTCTATGAAGAGTAAGTAGGTACATCTACTCATAATTCAAGGTCCGCTTTATCGGGATAATCTTGCCGCTGCAATCGGCATATCCTGCAGAACACATGAATGGTTCTCTATTAACGCCATAAGCCATACAAACAAAGCCTTTCGCAAGATCGCAAGCAGTCGCCTGCGCATGTCGATAGCATCTCAATTTGTCTTGCACAACTATCAAGCGTACCTATGCTTATTATTGTTTGGGATCTGATAATATTGCCTATTAAAGATTTTGCATTTAAGATTGTTAGGCCCTTACAAAACGTCACCGGATGCGAAACAATAGCTTGGGAAATTAGATACTTTAACTAAATAAACCGTTGAAAATTGATCGTGCCAAATTGTCACCTTAGAAATGGTAATTATGAACAAAATATTACAGTTTTGTTCTCCTTTTCGTAGTTTCATGCCAACATTGCTTTTCAATGTTGGATCAGGGTCTGCATGTAGTTTTGGTTTTACATTATGTAGATTAGATAGTTATCAGTCATCACTCATCTCATGGCCTCTATTAGGTCAACTACTGGACTTGATCTTATTAAAAGCCAAATCAGTAATCAGAAACAAGTGTTAGATCTGTGAGGTTTCTTAAGACTCACATTGCACTCTACTGCCGTTGGTCCTATGGCGGCGTCACGGCAGTAAAGTGTGGCTTGATGCTCACAGGGATGTAGCTGTCCTTCTGAGAGGAACATGGCCAGTTGGTAAAAAGCAAGTGTTAGTCTGTGTGGTTCGATATAACTTACAATAGTGACCGACCGAATATTCGTTTTCGTTTTCGTTTTCGGCCATTTTCGGCCAAAAAATGGACATTCGGCCATATTTTCGTTTTCGGCCAAATACCAGCCGAAGCTTCGGCCAAACCGAATATCAAAAATACGTGAATAAGATGGTGACGTTTATCGTTCCGATATCTTCGGGAGTGAATCTGGTGCACTCATGGTTCCAATCAGACTAGAACGGACGCGGATTGTCACACTCTTTTGAAGTTGTGAAGTGAGGTTACGTTGCAGTTGTAAAGAGTGTCCAGCGAGAATTTTCCAAGTTCAAAATTGAATACAAATAAAACCAAAGTTTAATTGTTTCAAAATAGAGTCTAATGCGGATTTGAAATACGCCATGAGTCTGGTCGGGAGCCTACAGAGCGTTCGCAGTTGAACAATAAGAAGTATTTGAAATGTATTGTCGTATGATCGATGAATGTCTGATACCACAACTGCAACCCGCCGTGAAGTTGCAGGAAAATTATTAGCGCGATTTGTTCTCGCATAGTTGCGAATGTAAGGGTCATCATTTAAAAGACATTGCCTATAAAAAATTAAATCCGCATTGTTAAACTCCAGTTTGCATAAGTAATAAATAATAAAAAATCATTAATTTATTTGTATTCATTTTTAAAGTTAAAAAATTCCCACTGGACATCCTTTATTTCTTCTTCACTTCCCAATATTTCATTATACACCGAAAATAATATTCTACTAAGAATTCATAATTATTTTTTTTGTGTTTTAAGGCCGGTTTTCTTTAATCAATCCTTATCAAAATCAACTGTCAAACGTCATTATGTTTTTGGTCAAAACATTAACGGTTTTCAAAGTTTGTACATAATTTCAGATTGAAATTTGAGAGTTGAAGGTCATTTTCGTTTTCGTTTTCGTTTTCGGCCGAAAATGAGACTGCAGCCGAAGCTTCGTTTTCGTTTCCGTTTTCGGCTGAAAATCCATATTCGGTCGGACACTAGCTTACAACTCACTTACATTGGACTCTGCTGCAGTTGGTCCTGTAGCGGTGGTACTCGCGCTCCCAGGCGCTGTCCACGGCGGGGGAGCGCGGCTTGATGCTCACAGGGGTGTAGCTGTTCTTCCGAGAGGAACACGCTCCATTGGTGATCAGAAGCAAGTGACTGCGTGGTTCCTTATAATACTTACATTGGACTCTGCTGCCGTTGGTCCTGTGGCGGCGGTACTCGCGCTCCCAGGCGCTGTCCACGGCGGGGGAGCGCGGCTTGATGCTCACAGGGGTGTAGCTGTTCTTCCGAGAGGAACACGCTCCATTGGTGATCAGAAGCAAGTGACTGCGTGGTTCCTTATAATACTTACATTGGACTCTGCTGTCGTTGGTCCTGTGGCGGCGGTACTCGCGCTCCCAGGCGCTGTCCACGGCGGGGGAGCGCGGCTTGATGCTCACAGGGGTGTAGCTGTTCTTCCGAGAGGACCACGCTCCATTGGTGATCAGAAGAAGGTGACTGCGTGGTTCCTTATAATACTTACATTGGACTCTGCTGCCGTTGGTCCTGTGGCGGCGGTACTCGCGCTCCCAGGCGCTGTCCACGGCGGGGGAGCGCGGCTTGATACTCACAGGGGTGTAGCTGTTCTTTCGCGAAGAACACGCTCCATTGGTGATCAGAAGCAAGTGACTGTGTGGTTCCTTATAAGACTTACATTGGACTCTGCTGCCGTTGGTCCTGTGGCGGCGGTACTCTCTCTCCCAGGCAGGAGGCTCTCTCCACGCGCTGTCCACGGCGGGGGAGCGCGGCTTGATGCTCACGGGGATATAGCTGTTCTTCTCAGAGAGGAACACCACCTGAAGATGACAGTGAGGTAAGTCGGTGGCAGAGGATTGTATCTTAAACAACGCGTTTATAATGTGCGAACAGTATCAATGCTAGATACTAATTTAGCTGAGTTGCACCAACTAACTTTGACCGTAACTATAACGTAAACCGGTGTTTTTTGTATGCAGTTTACAAATTTTTGACGTTTGTCAAAGTTAAAGTAAGATGGTGCAACCCAGTCAGACTTTATAATGTAAAGTCCTCTTAACTTTTCAGGAATCTTCTAAACGAAACTGCATAGACACTACAGCATTAGTAGAGCTTAAGGGAATCTGTATACCGACAATCTAATTGTAATTAAAACAATAGTCTGCACTCTACGGTGTGTTCAGGCTTTGCCCTAAAAAGGAAACTAATTCCTCACGGATCTTGTGCGCAGTGCCCTCACAATAATTGTTTTCCAATCGAGTGAAAATATGCGAGCTAATCTCAGAGGCGGCCAAGCCCACTTTATATCCCACACAGTATCTAATCAGCGACGGTTAATTAATAATTACTTTTTTCTCACGACACGTTTCACAGAACTACACGTATATTAATAAATATAGGTCTTGTTGTTCGATCAGCTACAAGAAAAGAGATAATCAACATTTTAATCTAACATCTTTTTTATTTCTAACAGAAATTACCTACTTATTAGGTTTATAATTATACCGCAACAACTTATGTTTTTTCGAAGCAAAAATTTTTGTTTTTTCTTTTATTAACTGGTTTTAATAAATTAATATTCATACATACGAGTACATAATAGACATGCACAGCCTTCGTATATATATGTATATCGTAAATATCTACGATCATAATCATATTCCCTACGCACAAGCGTTATCCGAGACCTCTACCGTTTTGTTGAAGAACGTGTAAGATCGCATCAAACACGGGTAGGCAGCGCGGACATGGTGCAACTGCGATAGCCCTGAGATAAATAAGCTAACCACCGCCTTCCTGCTCGCGACTTTTGACTGCCGAGGCATCCACGCTCACAACGCTAATTACCGCAAACAAATTAGCACTCAACATTGACCCAAAACCGCTCCAAACTCCAACCGTTACCAGCATAATTGAACTCCCCTCATTGTCAACATTATTTCTAGATTGCATCCATTATCCACTCGACAAAACATTCAAAACAAACTATCGAATTACTGGCTTGATAATGCACCATTTCACAGTCACGACCCCTTGAAAGTTTTGCACAAAAAAAGTTGTAAATGGCTGGAAGTGTGTCAGGGCGGTTCGCACGCCGGCGGCTCAGCGCGGCCGGCGCTGCACGCATTATAAAATTGGGCCAGTGGAGTACCAGCTCCGACACCACACTCCGCCGAAATTGGTTCCGATCGCAAAACAACTAATGTGACTATTTGTTACGATGCAGTAAGTAACGTGCTGGATGAAAATAAAACAAATCGTTTACACACTTGAGGAGGAAATTATAGAGCTCTAAAACACTCCAGTGAAAGTGAGAGTCCCGAACTCTTTTTTGAAAAATCCAAGTTGCGTATTAACAAAATCAATGAATACTTAGTAAGTACGAGCATCATTATTTTTTTAATTAATGTCGTCAGAAACTTAGCAAATCAATTAAGAATTATCTGACGTTAGGTCTAAACGTTAAGGCTATACTGAGAATAAACGTGATTCAATTAACTTAAGAGCTTCAAAGACGATTAACCAAAAAATTGCACTCGGCAAAGATAACAAGCGTAAATTGGCTTGTTTGCGTTCCTTTGTTTAAAAACTTAATTTCCGCTGTCACAAATCCGTTTCCTTAGATTATGTCATTTGTGTCTGTTTACGGACTTTAACGCTAGTCCACTTCTCTAATCAACGTCAATCACAATTTGTTTTTGTCCTCTATTTGAAATGACTTTATTAACTAGGTACGAAACATCTCCAATTGGTTCTGCAAGCGGTATTTAGAGTCCCTTTGTCTTTAAGTTAGCAGACGAAAAGTAGACAGAAAAGTAGTTCACCTAAAAAGTTAATTCGATTGTTAGCGCTAACTGACCGTACGGTCCCGCTAAGCGTTAGAAATTATTGTTTACCAAGATTGAGTTGTTAACTTGTCGTAATGTCTCTATTAGGTACTGACCCTTCGAGATCGTCTTTTTTCTTGGCTCGAATTTAACACTTAACTAAATTGCTGGTTATGGGAAGGGAGAGCTATGTGTGTCGCACAGTTGCAATCCAAGTTCATGGTTTAGATGCAATGTGAGTCGAACAGTTATCTCATCACACGTCGCCGGCGACAGGTCATAGATTACAATCTGACACATGCACCGGCTAGGAATAGCTTGCAGACACTGTACTGCCTTTCTCACGACCTTGATTCCGTAATGATCACCAAGCCCTTCCGATTTGAGATACGGCAAAAAGGAAGCGACTCGCTGAAGCACGAAATGCAACTACAGGCCACATTAGGAACACCTCGTAACGCGATGAACCTCAATTAATTAACATTGTTAGTTTGATTAACGGTGATGATTTGATAGGCATTGTTTCGTGGGACAAAAACACGGCCTTGATTGTATTCTCATAGATACGTTATTGCAGTGACCTATAACTATATCATTTATCGACCCCTCAGTTTTAATATAAGTAAGCGGTGAAATTACAATTTTATACATATAAAATTACCCGTCTCAGAATTTTAAAGTATTCCTACATGTACCTTGCTATGAACTTCGTTAATGAAATTAGCGAAAGACAATCTACGCATCCCTTTGTGCTGCGAATGCGGCTCATTCAGCGCCGTTGCGAAAGCCATTGAGCCGACAGCCGCGACTGTATCGGCGTTGGGCAACTGACACACGTGCTACGAGTTGCTTACTAGGATAGTAGAATACTCAGGATTTAGATGCCGCATTAGCGACAAAACAAGATACTTTAGCAGTAGTAGTAGAACCCTTTTAAAAGTTCAACGCTGTGAAAGCTTCACTTTTTACTTTCAATCGAAGATTGTTTCAGTTTTTGATTTTTCCGCTTTTATACTAATTGCAGTAGGCCATGAAAAGTCCGCGACAAAAGGCCTCCTTGAAATTTTTATTACTTCTATTCACGTGCATTCACGGACAAAAAGGCCATTTAGGCGTACCTACTCATGTCCTAGCTTTGCAGGAACCACAAGCTCTTGCAACCTTTAGCTAACTTTTAAGTGTGAACGAATGCTGATAGGAATAGGAAATAAGTATGCATCGATTTTAAAAGTTAATAAATTATGTATAAAAAAACACTTGAGTTAAAGAATTTGGGTCATGCCCATATAGTTATGTATTTTTAAAAACATAATTTAAAGTGGTGTCTATTGTAAAGTGGTCTGTGTGGCCCAGACCGAGGGTGTTCACGCGGAGAACCTCAGACTTTTATGTTAGAACTAGCTTTTGCCCGCGGCTTCACCCGAGTGAAATTCAGTTTGTCACAGATCGTCATAATATTGTAGTTTCATCAAAATAAAGGTGAGTATAGACTAGCTAGACTCCAGCTGGAGGATTTATATGTACTTAACTAGCTGTGAAAATACTTTGAATAATATTTATACTGCTCCGCTCCTATTAGTCAATCGGCGTGATGTTAACACTGAAATAATGTTTCAAATCGGACCAGTAGTTCTTGAGCTTAGCGCGTTCAAGTAAGTAAACAAACAAACTCTTCAGCTTTATAATATTAGTATTAATATAGATTATGTTTCAATTTACCTATCGCAGCATAAAATTTCCGAAATAGAATAGCAATCAGATATAAACTCAACAGAACTTTATTTAAATTTATAAACTGGGTCGGAACAATTGCTCATTTCATCAACGCCATTTGGAATTGAGAAAAGTGCATTGTGTATCTAATGTGTATTGACGTCCGTAAACATAAAAGCACTGCCAACGTAAAAAAGGGAAATGAAACGTATTTATCGAGTAATTGGCTTCAAATTCCATTGTATATTTAATTGAAATCTAATTCAAAGACCTAAATAATTTTCGCTCGTTGCAACTGGATTTGAAAAGCACAAACAAATATGTTAACATTAATCGACTGACCGAAAAACCAATACAATGGGAATAAAAGAAAGCACTGCGTCCGATCGTGTTTTAGTTAAAAGTGTCAGTCACTTGAGGAATTTTATCAATCGCTCCATCAACGTGAGCAAATGGGTGTAAATTGGTAGCTATTAGTGGAACCTTTCACCCATTTCCCTGGTAATTGCGAGTAATTGTGCGGTAAGATGACGCCTGCACCAACAAAAGTCGTCGGCTTTTACCGCCCTCCCTCGAATAGCATTTTATAAACCGCAGATTAGAAACACATTTCGGAAGAACAGTGAGAGTGGCGCCTCACATCAAATGTACCATAAAACCACGAACTCAGTAGAGCACTTTTGTGGGTCACATCAATATTGTCTCCGAAATCTAGGCTTGCTTGAGGTAGGTAAGTCCAATTCAGTTGTTTTGTTCCGACCACAAACTTGAGCTGAATTTCCTACTTTGGTATTCACGTTTTGAAAAACGCCATAGAATATCAATAATTCAATTAGTGTCATCACCACAATTCTACTTTTTCATTGATGACCCACTTACTATAAAGTTTTCTCATGACTTTTTCTAAAGCATGGAAACTACGGCCCTTTATTGCTACAGTGAAGGTGCATTTAAAGTAATTATTGACATTTTAATAGTCACAGCTGACCGAAATAACATGGTCTTTCACACATATTTCAAAAAGTAGGGCAACCTTTTAGCGTAGGCGTAGACCACCGACTTTTAGTTGGCCGATAGTTGGGTCGGATCGGACTGTTAATGAGTATATGGAGATACACGAAAGTGCGCACATTACACCGATTTGGTATCGGCAGATTCTTCATACAAATTAAAATCGAGCCCAACTTTCGGTCAACTAAACGTCGATGGTCTGCGCCTTGGCTAAATAGAAGCTTGTCAATATTGTCATTTATCATCAGTGCATAATCGCGTGCATCGTATAGAATTATAGATAGATTCATTACCTACTCAAAAAATAAGGGCAAATCGCAACCTGCCATAATAAGGGCAAACTACAGCTTAGAAGTAGAGAACAAACAACCAACTCATTTTCTTTCAGTAACAACGAGAAAGCTTTTGAAAAACCCTTGTCATTTGTCATTAATGTCGATAAACATCGCACTCTTCATCAAGCTAAAGACATTTCCATTCGGTAAAAGCCTGTATTTACTCGTACAGTCATTAACTGCAATGGCAGAGTATATCGGTCGACAGGCGGTTACTAGATATAGTTCATTATTCGTGATGATATTAAGAATGTGTTCCTCTAAGAAGCTTTACAAGAAATTAAATAATTCTATAATAATTCCAAAAGCAAACATGAACGTGATCGTTATAATGAACGCTATTATTAAAGCAAACAGCCAATTCAAAACCAAATTTAAAAAGATTCAGGTTTTTTTTTCAGAAACATAAAATAGGCGTAGGGCAGTTTAAAAAATGACAATATGTGGACCCTCTCTATCTTCCTTCAACCAGCTATTGTAACCATTATTGTAACAGTGTTATTGCTGGTCTAAAAAGTTTGAATAAAAAAAGTTAATCGATTTTATATCCGTTTCATTTAAAGGTGAATTATAGGTGTAATAACTTCTGCCTGATATTTTCGCTTTCAGTGGATGAGATCCCTCGCGTAAGTCCAGCAGGCCTCTCTACTCAAGGCCGCGTTTGTTATGAAAGTGAAACCTCGCCCATTACAATGCGTATGGGATGTTACACATATTGTTCTAATCCCATAATTATACGCGTATATTAGCATCTTATGTGTACACAGTTAGGTAAGTCGATTGAGAATGAAGTTGTATGTAAATTGTGTTGTTTAAATTATTTAATTTTAAGAACCTTACTTAATAATTTGTGTAACAGCACTAGTTTGCGATGTCATTCAAATTATCTTTTTTTTCTCTTATTCTACAGGGTGTTGATTTCAATACTCGCCATATTTATTTAGGTGATATATTATGACTTACATAAACGCATTATCCACCAAAAAAAAATTACAAACGAAAGTGGAATTTTTAGCGAATATTTTCCGTGCAACATCAACTGTACTATGGCTCGCAATNCGGCTAGTAAATAATAAAACGGACATATTCGCACACCTCATTCCCACGTCTGTATTTCTTAGGTAACCAAAAATAAAAATAACATCACAAACTTACCGGATCTTGTTCAGTTCCGTCGGTTTTCAACGCCTCTCTAGTTTCATTCTGGAAAAAAGTACATTTGTTTTATTCCCAATTTTACGTTTCCATATTTGACTTATAACTGTTGTGGAAAGTTACAATAAATTGACATCCGAAGCGTGGTCATTGGCGTTTATAACGCATTGCCTATGAAAACCATAACCTAATGTTTACAAGCCGTGTAACATTTAGAAGATAGGCTTAAGCTCGGTCGTTATTCTACATTGCATTACCTAAATTTGCTTTATGTCTAAAGATGACTGAATGATGCACTAGAGAATATTCTTATATTAAATTAAATAAATAGGTATATTTTAGTTGTTTTTCCTGATAAAAACCAAGGCCTTATTCCTTCAATCCTTTCAGTGAAAATTAATTAAAACCATTGTTATTATTTACCATTAGGCATAAGCAAGGTCTTTGTCCACTGCTGGTCACAGGTAGGCTTTCCATAGAATTTTCCCATAATTAAAAAAAAACACATCAAGCACACATTAGCCTACTTTCCGATGCAGTCAAGTAAGAAACGTTTATTTCTTTTAAAAATCCTCACCTTGACTATCCCTATCGACGGTATAGGATCTGGAGGGTCTTCTCCTGACCCTTCGCGTAACTCAGCTGATGATGAGGAGGAGCTGGCCACGGAAACCACTGACACCTCCGTGGACAAGTCAGCCGACTCCGCTGACGTCTCAATTATATGCTTTTCCACTGACTGCACATCCTGAAAGTAAACAAAATTTTGTTAGCAATTGCTTTTACCTAGACTATAAGTTTTGAAAAACATTTAAGATAGTTAAATATTATAAACAGATAGAGATGTATCTCTCTGGTAGGGTTCAAAACATTTTTCAACCCTTATAAGAATTCGAAAGCTCAATTATAGCTTTAGCTACCGAAGCTCAAGTATACACATGTTTATACAAATGCTTTAACCATAAAACAGTCTGTTATAATTATTTATGTACTTACTTTCGTTAATAGTAGCAATAAAGCCGTGGCGAGTAACCTGAAAACAAAATTTTGGTTGTTAATAATCGTATTATCTTCATTATAAACCTAACCTACAGTACATAAACCTTTTACACAGCTCCACCAAACCATTAAGTTATCTTAGTTAGTAAGCTGTGCCTAACTACGCTTTTAAATAGTTTTCCTAAGAACGCACCCACTCTAGGATGAGCTAATAAGTCATTTTCTGCGCAGAATTACTCATTAGATGTTTCCTGGTTAATTTTCTTTTTAAGATAGATCGCTGACATATCTTATCGCATCGCTACTTGATCGCTACTGCACTATCTTTCACTATCTTTCTTATTTCACTGTTTCATTGGTTTTGGCTTAGCCCTTAGCATACCACGCAACCATTTTAAGTTCTTCTTCACCTACTAGAATCACAATAAAAAGTTAATCGTCCTTAATGCGGATTGCAGACCAAAAACTATTAATCTAAGTTAGTTTAGCTTAGCGAAATTTCTGACGGAGTTTTCCATGGTTGTGTGCAAACTGCTAACTATACCAACACTATGGAAACTGCGTCAAATATGCGAGCTAAGAAAAACTTTTTTTTTCGTCGGTAATGCTTTAAAGAACGCTCTGGCCTATGGGCACAGTCAGTGGGTTATGTACCAGGCTCTCCCCGCCAGGAGGGCGGGACCTACCCACTAAAACACAACGGTGTCCTCCGAGGATATTAATTGAAACGAAGCCTCGAGTTATATTATTATTACGTTCATCCCATACCTGACGGCTAGCTAAGCAAAACTAACTTAGCTTTGCTCTTGGTCTGCAACCAGCACAAAGATTCCACTCCCAACCTTATAGTTACTTTAAGAACAATCAAAACACCGCTTTTGACAAATAATAGTCTCCACACAAATCGAATATGGTTCGTGATACATTCTAATGATGACCCTGGACTCCTGGAGTCAACTGAAGCTACGGGCGTCGTGACGATCGAATTGCACATTATTGTTCTAGCCTAATGCGGCTTCTGTCGGCAACCGTGGTGAGACATGCAGGCTGGCAAGAACAGACAGAGCATTGCAAGCTGTATCGTATAAGATGGTAAAAAACTTCATTCTCTTAGAAGCTTTTTTTAATTTTAATTAATTTTATTCTTCTTTTTGAAGTTGTTTCAATAAAAATATATTCTATAGAAATAGTTTAACATTGATTAGCATTGATAATCCAAATGAAATATAAAGGTATTAAAGGTTTTCTTTTTACAAAAACAAACCGATATTACTATTGTGATTGTACGTGTTTGCTTTGTATTTACTCATAAATTATTTTTTATAATAAACAATAATGTGAAATAAACCTAAATTTTAAAATCCTATCATATAAAAATACTTCGTTATCTATTTTTCAGTAAGTACGGCGTGCATGAAAATAAGATGGCAGGCTGTTCTATTCTAGCTGCGGGCAGGTCAAAAGACACGGCGGGGTAATGACAGGCCAAGGGATTGCTCTGGGATCGATATCTATATCATTCTGCGGTCTTCGGCCATAAAATTGTTGGTTCACGCAATCGGTGGTCAGTATGATGTAATTTTTACAATCGTCTCATTTAATAATGTTATTGAATAGGTTCACAGAACTCATAGCCCGAACGGCCATACATTTACCTACCAACCATATTATTTCTTTGAAATTACTTAAGCAATTTCTATGGAGAATAGTAATTTTATTTTACTCGTGCCATTAAGAGATCAATTTGAAACGACCGGTCGGATTTCTCTTTTAGCGTTATTTCTAACTGGCTATTTAGATTTGGACAACAAATAATTCGTTTCTGCAAATAAAGCATTACTATGCGCCATTACTTTGTCTATTGCTAGAAAAGAACAGTTTTTTTAAAAGATGATCTAGGCAACTAGCTGATTTATCAACTAGCAAAGAGCAATCGGTGCATGAGAACCATAGAAAATGGCGGTAAGTTTTTACCTAAAATTGGCATTTTACCTAAAGTAGTTAAAATTGGTATCGCGTCTCAGCGTCGATTCTTATAATTTCCGGAATCCAATTTCCACGTCATCAAATAATTCAAAACACCAAGTCAGTGAACCGACGAGGTCGCCAGTCAACCGCTACTTTTATACTTAGAAACGAAAAATAAAATATCACTATAAAGATTCTCTACTATCTAATACTAATACAGAGATTATGAATGTGTTTCTTCTGTAAGCAACTCCTCTGTCTATTACAGTAGGTAACATATTTATAAGTAGGGGTAAAGAAGTTTGGGGTGTCCGCAATTATAATATTATATTATGTCTCATACTTGCTCTACATTTTCTTTTTTCGATTTACAATGAGAATAAGTCTAACTTACATTATAGTACTAACTACGAAAATTTAATTATACCTACTATGACCATATTGTGATTAGTTAATTAGAAGAACAAGTGTTAACAAAAATAATATTTAGATAAGGATTACGTTTAACATTATTAAACCTAACTTTATTAAATTAATTGTTATTAATTAAGCAAGAAAGTGTATGCAACAACATTTATGGCGTGACTACGAATGGAGAAACAAATTCTTCGTAGCAGACCACACATGCTGTGACAAAATATCGCGATAACGACGCTGTGCGTTGCTTAACTACAGTTGCTATAAAATACCATAAACTAATTAATTTATTATCTAGCATACTTTAAGTGTACTACGAGTACCTAACATACGAAAAATAACCGTTTCGATATAATTTTCCCATGATAATATGGGTTACGCGTGGACTATGTAATAATAAGTTATTTTTTATATTCAGTTTAATCACAAAACAGATTCTGATTCGATTATAGAGTAACCCCCATGTTCATTGAAACCACTTTTACGGGAGATTCAAAAAGTGTTGTTAGTCCAGTAGAATTAGCTTTTAAATCGGAAATAATTCCTACAAAAGATTTTATTGTTTTAATGGCTTCATTGGTTGCCCATTAAGACTCTCCTAAGTTTTCGACTTCGACGGAGTTGTGCTTAAGTGGTGGGGGCCCCCGAAAGAGGCATTTTTATTATACAATGACTCTACGACTAATAGAGGCGAAGCAGTAAAGAAAAATGTTGCAAGCACGGAAAATAGTATTTAAACTATTTTCACGCGTACAAAGTTGATTTTGTGGCGTCGAAATCAACTTTGTACGCGTTGCCTTGGACCAGGCATATAGCTAAGCAATGCAATCGTACAGGAGGGTACAAGGAAAAGAGGCAGCCACATTAGGTAACACAGAGTCGTTCAGGAGAGTGTCAGGAAGAGGTGCCGCAACCGCAGTTAAGGAACGGTTGGGACGAACAAGGATAAGCGAATCAAACTCGTGAGCCTTGTTAGGGTTACACTGGTTAAGGCGACCCTTTACAAGGCTTGGAAGCATGTGGGTAACAAGCCATGGGACGTGGAGAGGGTCATTAATTATACGTATATTTTCTACTTTGCCGAACTTTAGCGCGAGAACGGTTTGTCCAAAACATATGAATTTGGTCTTATTCAATGCAGGATTAAGTGCCCTTTAACCGTAATGAAGACCACTTTTCGATAGGGTAAGTCCTACGCGGTATAACCGGAAAACCGAAAAAACACCGCTTTCGGGGGCCCCCACCACTTAAGCACAACTCCGTCGAAGTCGAAAACTTAGGAGAGTCTTAATGGGCAACCAATGGAGCCATTAAAGCAAAAAAATCTTTTGTAGAAATTATTTCCGATTTAATCAATTTTTGTGTATAATTCTACTGGCCTATGTGTATTTACTTTTACCCTTTTCATTAAACCGTGATCTATGGGTTCTTTTGAGTTTTATCAATTTATCATCTACCTAGCTCGGGATTGAATCGACTTGTAAACGTCGTTTTGTAATACAGGCCTTAGGCTGGGTTGCACCATCTTACTTTGACTTTAACAAATGTCAAAAATCTGTCAAACTTCATACAACATACGCCGGTTATCGTTATAATTACGTTCAAAGTTAGGTGGTGCAACTCAGCCTTAATGTCCTCCCAGTGGCATAAGTCTCAACGCAGCATTCGCATCCAACAATAACTCGGCTTCGTGATTGAGAGGGCAATTAATCGATATCGAGTGGTCGTTAACTGGATAATCGATTCGTGATCGATATAACTGCACCGTTACTCGTGCATCCATTGGGACATGCCGTAACTTGCAATTTCCTATTGAAATCGCGTATTCTTGCCGTTAAGACTGTCAATAAATCGAATCATTCGATAAATCTGTTTACTTTTTGCGACAACAGAACATGAATAAGCTGAAGAGCGAGAGTCCTAAAGCAATTTAGCGGTCAATTTGTTATATTCGGCACAAGTTCGGTTTTCGCATGCCAACTTTCTATTGACAAATGCACATTATCAAATCACACAGAACGGGCCCGCCGTGGAAGTAATTGTGCCTTAAAAGTAGGCAACTGTTAGTTTTTAAATGACAACTGTGGAATACCATCGATTTTCACGCTTTCACTCATTCGTATATTAATCTATTGCTAGATTAGGTACTCGATTCATTTGTTAGTTCTGATTGGAGTAATTGGTCGAGAATTTCGCTTTTATAACATTAAATACAAGTAAACTATAAGGAATCCATGCTATATTCTACTAATATTATAAATTAATTCTGTCTATCTGCTATGTTTTACGATTTGAACCTCTAATCGTTTTTGATTAATGTTGGTGGAAAAGAGTTAGCTAGGCAAATGTTACCTTTGTCGCAAA